CATGTATGACTTAAATTAAATGAACATGAAGCAACACAATTATTTTGATTTAGTAAAATTAGTGCGCTTTCTTTAATTTTATGTTTTTTTGTGGATTGTTCTTTAGTTAAAATTGTGGAATTATTCCATTGAATTTTATGGCAATTATCAAATGCATGTTGACAAATGTGTGATTTATGATATTCTCTGTTTTTTATGTATGATTGGTGTTCTTTGAGTCTCTTGTGTAATGGTCTTGAGGTTTCTTCTATATAAAATTTATTGCATTCGCAAGGAATTTTATAAATTAAATTTTTTGTATTTTCAATTATATCATGAGGTTTTATTACTGAAATTTTACTTCTAATTGTATTTTCAGTTTTGAAGATAGTCCTAATATTAAATTTTTTACCTACTCGTTTAATTTGATCTGAAAGTCCTGGAATAAAAGGAATGAAAAGGTTCGTAATAGGTTTATTTTGATTTTGTTTTGTTCGTGGGAATTTTTGAGGCGAAATACCCAAAAAGAAGTTTGTAAAAAAATGAATCCGCCTCAACAATATAGAACTAATCTACATTTCAACTACCCGCATGGAATAAGAAAAGTTAATTAGTTTTTATTTAATAAATGGGTCATAAAGCATTTTTCTAATAAATGATGGGGAAAAGTTGAATAACAGCGCGCTGGAACATGGAGAGACAAAACTTTTACACGAACGAACATTAATTGAGATCGATACTGTTTGCGGTAAAGATTTTACGGCAAAACTTCTGGCTTCAATCAATTTTAGCCGGATAAATGGAGATATTAAAACGGATGTTTAAGCAAGTTTACAGCATCTAGTTCCATATGAAATGAATTACTGTCGTTATGCAACAGTCAGGGAATATCTATGCAAATTAGTCTTGAGGAACTACGATATGTTTTGATTAAATTCAAGGAATATTACGCAGCCACTTTGACCATTCAGAAACTATAATAGGCTATGTCTGGTCAATTGACCATCGATGTATGTGCCCTTGCATAAATCCCGCTGTTCCTGAATTTAATTAACGCACAATCAGTTCCTCTTTTGTGTGCGATTATGTTGATATTAATTAACACGAGAGATAAGATCAATTCTACATATTCATTCTACCGTGAATAATGCAGTTGCTGGAAGATTCTAGTATGGGAAATGTGTTTAACATGCAAATTCATATTTATCTGGACTTATATATACAAAATACATGATATAAACAAAAACTTACTCATTTACTACTTCGGGAAGCGATTTTTAGGCAAAAGCTTCTCCGGCAAATTTAGACGCTAGTACTATAAAACGCAATAAATTTAACTGACAGTATCAGCACAAGACATTTCTAGCAGAGTATTTAATTACATTTTCAAATGTATAGGTTGTTAGTAATAAGGTAAATGGGTTAATATGTTGGCAGGAAAATCTACTGTTCAGAATGTGTTTAGATTTCATTACTGGAATTGTTCATAAAATTATAAATTATGTAACATAGGCCCTTCTTGATTCAGCTTCGAGTGAAATAACGGTTTTAAAATTACAACTGAGAAACTTTCATGTTTGCTTTTGTTGAAATGATGTTTCATTTGTTCGAGTATGAAGTACTTCAAGCTAACAATGCATTGTGCACGTATTCCAATAGGCATTAACTATTCTCCTAGAGTCACAGGGACATTTTGACTTCTATTGCCCTACGCTCGGTCTCTTCTGGTACGAAATGGGCCATAAATACTCGAGCACAATAAGCAACATTTATTTATTATCCGCAGCGAAAATATTTATCAAGATGAATAATTGAAACCTCATTACGAAATCACAAACCGCTTTGCAACCATGTGGATATTTCAGCCAGGTTTCCGCTTTCCGCGTCTTTTTCATAAATAAGCCATGGAATAGCATATGCCTCCAATTTACTGGCAATATTAGCCAGCGACAATGCATAATACATTACACGAGAGTTTCCTATTTATAGTCATGTTTTAAGTTGATGTAGACCAGGTAACTAAGTACTTATTGTTTTCATGTGCTACAGTAAGCTGGTTTAGCATAATGCGTAATTCGCTTGGGTAGCGAATGTTTATTGACTGCAGGGCTTATGTGGAAAGCGACTCTTTCAGATAGAAACTTACTTGTAAATGTACTATGTTGTCAGAGTTTTTTAAATAAATATAATTACTGGTCTGTTTTTAATAAGCATAGATTCAGTGGCTAAGATCTGATAAGGCTTTTGTTGAACCGACCCGTGCGCGTCTTTTTTTGACGATATTATGAGAAAAATACTGGAAACAAACAAAAACCCCTACAACTCATGCATTTAAATTCCGCAAATCAGGCTTCCAAATCTTGCAAAACTATGATGAGCAAGCTCGTTCACTTCTCGCATTGTCTTGTTATTCTTCAGAATAGCGCAAGGTTGAATATTATTAACAAAGCTAAAATCAGCAATTTTTTTCACTATCGGCCTTCCACCGAATGCCAATAAACCAAGCATTTTTCAATGTTGCAAAAAAGCCGGACTTTCAATTAAAAACTGAATGTGCGGCTTCGACTCATGTTCTAAGGGTATATTATCCCGCCGGACAATGCCTTATTCAGGTACTCTGTATTCAATTAGCTTGGCTGGCGTTTATAATAGCTCAGGTTTATAAATTTATTATAGCCTATTAAAAGTCCTCGTTATTGTAAAGTCGAACATCACAATGTTCACTACGAAGACAAGAGTCGCAGCCTGGTTTAGTTTATTGCCTGCATAGTGTATGAAACTTGCAGAAAGTAGCTTTTTACTATGCAGGCACTCACACACGGTATAAAACCTCTTCTTTTAGAAATAACATCGTTTTTGCCTGATTGGATGTTTTGCTTATTTCAAATTAGTTCTAGAACACTCTTAAAGCAGTTGAAACGATTAGTTTTTGCCACTATTGCTAAACATAGCTAAATTTTCAAATGAATTCAAACGTTAACTCATCAATCGTCATTTCTTATAGCCCTTTACTAACATGGGAATTATTAGATTTTAATTTAAAAATAAGAGTTTTTTAACATGCAGTTCATTTTAAAACCCGACATGCTTGCTCCACATTCCTGGCACTAAGAGGAGGATTTTCAGCAACAGCATCCTAAATATTCTCTTTGACTTCAGCAGTATACGTCTACAATTATGCTGTGTATGTATGTGGCTTAAAGCAGCTCTAAATACACCTACTTATAAATTCCCTATATTCAGAATAAGAGAAATGAAATTTAATTATTTGCAATTTCATGAGGCAAGATCCATATGTTCGCCTCCGCCCTAACTGTAGAGCGTTCCATCTTATTTCTACTATGCCATCCTTTAATTTTCATAAATATGGACTTCAGTTAATTTTTTTACTTAAAAACAACTGTCTGATCGATTTTTTTATTTTTTCGATAACGTTAAATGTGATCTCTATTTACAGCTTTTAAAACGGGCCCAAATGGTATTGAAAAAAAAAACAGAAGCCATGCGAATGCTGAATTTTTTCATTGTGTTGCTATTGAACTATTAAAATGTCCGTTTAGTACGCACTAAACTGAAATTTCAGCTACTAATAGTTAATTCTATATTAGTTACTAAAAGTCTATATGTTATCTCAATAGGTGTATTAAAATGTGTACTAATACTAATAGAGAGTAAAATATTTTCATTATTCATATATTATTTATTCAGAGAAATATTTATTAAATCCTCAAATATTATAAATTTCAATTCGTTTTTTTATTAAAGAGAGAAAATGTAGAATTTTGAACCCATTAAAAAGAGGAATTAAATAAAGAAACAAAACAAATTCGAATCCACTAAAGTATTAGATATTAAAATTTTCAGTTGCGGTAAATTGCAAAGACACAAAAATCGCAGTTTCGGTGAGAACGAACAAACCGTTCAATGGCAGAATTTACGCATTGGGCAGATCTGAAACCTGCAATGTGGATGTTATTAATAGCGATCTCTTCAGATTGGATCTTACCATGACCGGTCAGGACTGCAACACTCAATCAGTGGTAAGTTATTCGCATAATTTTAAAAATGTCGATTTGAATTTGTTGCATTTAATTTTTTAGACGGGAGTTTACAGTAACACGGTTGTTTTACAACATCATAGTGTTGTGATGACAAAAGCTGATAAAATCTACAAAGTGAAATGCACCTACGATATGTCTTCTAAGAACATCACGTTTGGAATGATGCCCATCAGGTGGGTACAATTTGGCTGCAAATTGTTATGTCGAGAAAGAAAAATGATATATAATCTTGGATTCCCTAGATTAAGGCTTAATCATGGGCCTGGAAAGGTGGAAATAAATCGTTTCCCGGTAAAGCCTATTATATCGACTGACATTTCTGGGTCGCAAAGAGGATCAAGACCAAAAAATGGCACGTTCAGTCATTAGTCTAAAGCAGTAAAAGCTTTATTTTCTATAAGCGGGAGTTTAGTGTCAATCCTGCAACATGAAAACTAAACTTTTTATCTGAACAGAATATTTAATCGTTTGGATGATAATTTAATCTGATAGAGTTGCTATTATTTAAAGCTGTTGAGTTAATGGACTTTAAATGTCTGATCTCCACTAAATCTACTGAATATCTGGTGCAAAAAGCCGACTTGATGCTGGCGACAAGCCAGAAAAGAACATTTAATTAGCGCAAAAATACTCGTTATAGTAAATTAGCTTCAGATAAATTAGAAACGAGTCTGGAACAAGCGTAGCTTCAGTAAATGGACAAGAGGGACTAATTAAATTCCCCTATAGCTGAACCAAGTAAATAGAACAATTATTTAAAAAATAGACAAATAAGCAAATTTGTTTAAAGACGTTAATATCCACAATTAGAAAATAGTGTAAAAATCGTTATTTTCGATTAAAGGAAAATTTACTCGTTTACTTTTTAATCGATTCTATTAGTCCCTAATCCAAGGCTTTAGCCGCGTTAAATTTTAAATTTTTAAAATCAGTGGTTTGATAAGAACAATTTGCATAAAATAAATAAAAAAATGTATGGCATTAGAAATAAATAAACAGTACTTGACTCGAGGACGAAAATAAAAATATACTCGTTAGTTTCTGCAGCTTAGAAACTAGACCTGACTTGAAATAGCATGAAAAAGCTAAATTTAAAAGCCAATTTTTTCAATTACACTGCTTTTCTATTGGAAGCATTTGTTTTCATCGTAGAAGGAGTAAAATCAACGGCATCTAATCGCCTGGCCATAAACATTTATCAGATGAAAGATGAAAGTTATGCAATAATAATGATAGTTTCAAGAAAAAACAAATTTCAGGAAAGTTTATTATTTGAAGATGTCCATCATACCTAAAATATTCCCATTTATATTACGGCAAGCTGTTATTCGGCCATATAATAATAACGAAACTTCCTTTATGGCACATTCAATTTACATACGGTTTCTCATGCAAAGTTGCACATACCATTGGGAAATCAGCTATTGCTTGTGAATTTTATTTTAAAGGTAGAATATGCCAATTTTCCATCGAATGGGTTTGATAATATTCCGATCGAATGCATATAAATGGCAACTAGTGGAATAAATATAAATCTACCTCTTCATTCGAAAAGAATCTTAATTTGTCTTAATTTATGCATGATTTTGTCTGGTTTTTGCAGAGATCCAGAAATGATCAGCATCACTTCTGCTCCTGAGGCTCCACCACCAAGAATTCGCATCTTGGACAGTCGTCTTAGAGAAGTCGAAACAGTTAGGATTGGAGATAAACTTACGTTCAGAATTGAAATTCCCGAAGACAGTAAGTTCGAGCTAATAATTTAATAATATAAATCTAATAAATATGCTTGTTTTGCACTCAATCACGTTCTCATATGTATTTGCTGTGCTCACTCTTGTTTCTAAAAAGTATTGCGGGCAGCCTGTAGAAATTCAGCTTGTATACGTAACAAAGGATTATGAAACATTTCAGTGGCCACTAATAAAAATTGCAATTTCTCGTTTGCACTGCCAAAATACGCTAATAAAACATTTGAGGTCGTACCCAATAAACCAACAAAAAATGAACGCCGGCAAACAACACCTTCTGAAAAATGAAAAAACTACACCAACCGATCAAAAATGTAATTTTTAAATGTATAAACAAGCGTAAAGGTTCCCTATGTGAATGATCGTAAAACTTTTTTATGACAAAGCAACGTGTCTGCTTTTTATTAAACATTAAATTCCCGAAGTCAGTGAGCAGAATCTTTTCATTCTAAGGAAAGTTGGATCTTATATAGCATTCAAAGGGCTAGACGATAACAGTAAAAACCAACAGCGACATAAAGTAGAGCAATTTTCCCATATAAAGTGACAAAGCCGTCTGAAACTAACGCGGAACGTGTTTATTTTTCCAGCTCCTTACGGCATCTTTGCAAGAAGCTGTGTGGCAATGGCAAAGGACGCAAAGAGCACGTTCCAGATTATCGATGATGAAGGATGTCCAGTCGATCCAAGCATTTTTCCAGCATTCACTCCAGATGGAAATGCGCTTCAGTCAGTTTATGAGGCTTTCCGATTTACGGAATCGTATGGAGTCATATTCCAGTGCAATGTGAAATACTGTCTAGGACCATGTGAACCAGTAAGCGAATTTATACTTATGGGTTTCTAATAACTGTGGGTCAATTGAATCAAAAAACGTAAACGATTACTTATTAAAAGTATACCATAGATGATGAAAAATTGTATGAGAAAAGACATACATGGTGCTTATGATTTATTGAATATTCTGCAAAAAGCCACCAAGTTGCTTCCTGGTCCACTTCAGCTCGGGAATAGTAGGAGAAAAAATAGATTACCATACTGTTTCAAAAACACCAAAGGTGCTTATTGAATTACGACAGCAAATAGACAAAAAAATTTCAAGTCGAACATGTTTTTTTTGACAACAAAATTTTATTGTGAAAATTTGTTTGATCGTGTACTTTCTTAAGTTTTTTGAAAAATTTTCAAAATATAAAGTAAATATTTATAGAACAGCCACAGAATGACCACATGTATTTTTTTCTGCGTTGAATAAGCATCCTGTATACGAACTTTAGAAGAAATATTTAGTTTTGAAATCCGTTTTGAATAACGTGCTTTGATTTAATTGCTTTGTCGAACACTCTGTACATAAACGTTATTTTCATTATGTGCCCCAGAAATAGACGCTACGGCGCTATAGTTAATGTCGCAAATTGTGGAATATTGTTCGTTGCGGAAAAACATTCAATTTGAAACCGATATTTACGAAGCTAATAAAAGTCGGGATTCTAGCCAAATTTTATGAAACATTCACAGTCTTTAGAGTCACGTCTCATCTGCGGATGGTAAAAATTTCAAACTGCTAATTGCTTTAGTTGGGAAAACTTTTTTTTCAAGCAAAGAGCGCAGTTGCGTGAAAACATTAATTTTGAGACCGATATTTAACAAGCTAGCAAAAGTCAGGATTTCGGCTAATTTTTATGAAACTTTCACAATTTTTAGAGTCAAATTTCATCTAAAGAAGGTGATAATTTAAAACTGTACTACTTGCTTTAATTGTAAAAATTCAATTTTTTTATAGCGCAGTTGTGTAAAGAGATTCATTTTAAGACCGATATTTACCAAGCTGGGGAAGCTAAGGATTCGGCATCTTTAAAGTCAAAGTTCAGATTTGCAAAATTTCAAATAGCAGAGGTTTCCATTTTCAAATATAGTACAAATTAAAATTTTCTACTTCTTTAAATTGGAAGAGGCGAATTCTTATAGAAAAAAGAGCAGATTATGTCCATTATGAGATCGATATTAAATAATTTTGACTCTCATCTGCTAAGCAAAAAAAATAGATTTAGGACGATTTCTATGATATTTTTACCACCCTCAGAGCTAAGTTCCACCTAAGGCTGCTAAAACTGCTGCTTGCGTTAAATTAGAAAAATCGAATTTTTAAAGGAGCAAGACGAATTGCGTTAAAACATCCATTTGGAGACCAACATTTATCAAGCCGGTAAAACGCCGGATTCGGGGCGATTTTCGAGTGGTATTCTCAAAATAGCAAAAATTTTAAATTGCTACTTGCATCTCGATTGCTACTCAATCACAAACTTAAAATAACTTTGTAAAATTTATTTCCAAAGCAAAAGTATGGTTCACAACAGAGACACTTGCTTTGCATTTTTATTGTCCGTATAAAAACCGCCCGATGTACAAACCGTCACTACCTGATTTACAATCAAATGATATACCTAACTGTAAATTTATTCTACTGAAATAACGTTTGCAAATCCAGGCTCTGCCATATCGTTCTTGAAAGAACAATATGAGACTAAAAGCTATCTACTTGGCAAGCATGAGCAAAGTAAGGACAACATGCAATAAATATGCAAAACTTACCGAATGCTGTATTAAATATCAGAAATTAAATAAAAAGTCATCATTGTGTGGCCATTCAGTTATGATAATTAATTTTCCAATTTCAGTTTTTTTTGAAACTCAAGAATTTAAGCATGAAAAATCTGGATCTAACATTGAACCCAACAAATAATGATTAATCTCAGAGAAGATGTCCAAAGAAATAATAGTCATAAGTACCTACACATGTTAAGATAAAGTCGAAAATATATAAATTATTTTTCTTTAGGCTGTTTGTGAATGGGGACGTGATTCGATAGAATCATGGGGAAGAAAGAAGAGAAGCGTCCAAAATCAAACCGATGAAGAGAAGGAGGAAGACATGACTTTAAGCCAGGAGATTCTCGTATTGGACTTGGGTGATGAAAAACAATCAGAGTTCCTTAAGAGCGACCCAGCCAATGCAGACTATGGAAAAGGTAATTTTATGATATATTTTCAATTAAGTGCATTATTGCAACAATATCCTTCACTGGACTTAATTTCCTGTTTTTCTCCTAGACAAAACTGTGACCATTATCGAACCATGTCCGACAAAAACATCAGTTTTGGCTTTGGGAGTAACCTGCGCCCTATTGGTTCTGTTGTACATCTCAACGCTCTTCTGCTACTATATGAAGAAATGGCTGAACCCCGGTAAACACTTGGCTTAAAGTAAGTGTATGAACACTAGTGGTGCTTTTCATGGAAAACGCCACCGCATTAGGAAAATGTAGTTATGGAAATACCTTTTGGTATTGCACTCGGTACCTTTTGCAATTAAGCCCTAATACTGAAGCAATACTTGAATTAGGTTTATTGTTTTACGCGTATAATAGTTTCAATGAGTTTATAAAATAAATTTGGGGGTTGTGAAATGTAAATATTTAAGTTTACGGAACAAGCAGAAACATCGAAATCAATTAATAAAATGACCCCAAAATTTATTTTTCAAATAAACCAGCAATTCTAGCCGTGTCTGGGTGAAAATCCATTAAAAATTTAAATTAATGTTTGCAATACCATTCAAAACACGAGCTATTATTCCTGAAATAATTAGAATGTTAAGGCTTCTTATTATATTTCACAACATTTCTTGTCTCATAACATTTTCAGCAAAGCTAATTTTTTAAAGAAATGTTGTGGACTACTTTACCCACGATAAAAGCAGTAAAGCAGCATTGAAGACAACTAGAAATATGTACGGTATTTTTATGAGAATCCTTAGAGACTTTTTACGTATTGATATCTCTGAAAGACTCTCAAATATTGATAGCAACTGTTTACTTAACGTATCACGTTTTTACTTCGGGCACTGGTGGAGGTCTTGGTGGTGGTATACTGTGATCTTTGAAAATTATGCAAACATTTTTTACCGCTGCAGATTTGCAAAAATACAATTTTGCCTGATCTCTCGTAAGTTAGAAGGTAGTTTGCTTACTAAAGTCCAAGTTATTTCCAAATGTACCCTCTAACTTGCCACAAATTACTTTTTGATTTATCGATAAGAAAAATTTGTCGCGGTAAAAAAATACATTTGCTTTGTGGTCTTCTTGATATTACGAATAAATTAAGTTATTTATAAATATTATTTATTATATTGTGTCAATTATAAGTATTACTCAGCTGCATTAATATATAAGCTTAGAGGTAGAATGTATATAAATACTTTAACATCAATAACGCGGAATAGTAGTAATTCATTAAAATAATTAAATGTAGCTCCAATTTTATACTTTCCTATGTAATAAGAAAGAATAATAATAAAACGTATAACAAAATATGCTTTTAACTTCTTTATTCCATTATTTCCTACAATGTGCATGAGGAGAAACAAGCGGTCAATGAAACGTGAGTAGATTTTGAAATGCCGTCTTAATTAAACTGTCTTGCGGTCAAATACAAAAACAACGTTTTTGTACAAACAATGTAAAATTAATTTAATTTATAGCCACTTGACAACATTTATAACAAAATAGAACTAACTCCAAATATATTCCCTTAATTGATAAATTCATAGTCTTCCATCATACTTAGCTTCTGTTGAGTCAATACTGCTAAATCCACCATAGTTTCCGGCAAAAGAAGTTCATGGACGGAATATTTCAGTGATTCTTCATAGGCGAATATGATGCTGGTATCAAAGAGCATCATGTAATTTTGAGCGAGAGCTAAAATACTATTTCTCACTCTTGCCATTGCTTCTCGAATGTCTTTTGGAATCACCTGAAGAATGAGTTCCGGTCGAATAACCGTTGCCACATTAATGATAGAACTTACTTCTTCAAGATTTTGAATAAAACCTCCTTCATCGCCTTCCACATTATTTGATGTGGGGCTAATCCAAATATAGCCGTTGTTTCCCAAAATTAAACTCACACCAAATGGCAAAGTGCAGAAGTGTAATTTGCATTTTTTTACTAATGAGGGAAAAACCTTGATCAAAATTCCTTGCCCTAACTAAAAGCGCAACAAAAACATAAGAAAAGTGAAGGGAACGTATTCGTCTAATCCTACTTTGCCATATTTTAAACTCCTAGTGTGAAGCGATAGTGTTCCATCTGTAAAAACACTTTGAACTTCAGCACTAATTAAATCGCCTTCCTGCAAGTACTCTCTCATCATGTGTTGGTCTTCGGCTGACCTCCTCCTCTAAAATTTCAATGGGTATTTTGAGCTTATAAAATTCCTCAGAATAGTGTGGTTTATTCCTACCAATTCCCCTCCGGGCAAATTTACTGAAGACAGCAATAAAGCTGAATCAAGCCTTGAATTGGTGTCTACTTTCCATCTTTTTTGTTGCACTTCAAGTATACGACCTACTAACACTTCTCCGACTTGTCCATTGTAACGACTTTTTAATGGTCGCACTGATACAAGTTTATTTACTTGTTCTTTAACACCAGCTACGGAGGCTTTCAAATCGCCACCTTCTTCATAGGTCCCATGTCCCCTGAAAAGTGATTTTATGCATATACCTGGTTTCCAAATGTTACACAAATGAGTGTGTCGATAAATACACTTTAGGTAGCGCGTTGAAAATAAAAGCAATCAATATAAAAAGCTAGCTAATGGTTTTCAAAAATCGTCGTTCCAACTCCTGCGAATGAGGCAGGATCAAAAAGACTATCTTGTCTCATTAACAGCAGATTCGCATCTACGATAAATTGCACGTAACTTTTTTTAGAAAAGTGTAATTTCCATTTGTCGTGTAAATCGCTCTAATAAAAAAAATCTTAATTAATCTAGATTAATTTGTTGATTGATTAATTGTTTGCAGATTGTGCTTTGTACACTTTGTACCACTGAAATATTTAAAATCTCGCATTATGGAAGACAAATGCAAAAATGTTATTTACTGCGTAATTTCAGCAATAGACGTTATCTAACCGATTTGTTCTTTATATGCAGTGGTTACTACAGGACTTGTTTTTTAATATCTTTCAATTCTTTCAAGATATATAGATAAAACTCTCAAGATATAATCCATTTAATTTTATAAAAAGTCTAGAGCCTTGGGAACAACAAATCTGTCATAAGATTTTGATCAAATTTACTACGGTCTGAATTCATAATACGATAGTATAATTTAATTTAAGTTATTAATTTAATAAAAAAATTACTAAAAAAGGTAAAGGTTTAAAGGTAAAAAAAGGTTTATATCCGTAATTGTTGGACATGAATTTTGGTATGCAGCCGTTATAAATAAAATAGTGGAAAACAAAATTGAAGACTGAAACATACGCAAATGAAAATTATTAAAATTTATTTTTTATTTTATTTGAAACAAATAAAAGCGTATATTTTTAGCGAATGCAGTTTTAGAATTATATGTAAACAACGAGTGTTAGTCTGATCAAAAAGCAATACTGAAAGAAAATTACTAAATGGAAATCGTAAAAAAAGGAAATCCGTAAATGCAGTACTTTTTGGTGCATAGCCGTTATAAATAAAATAGTGAAAAACAAAATTGAAGACTGAACATGCGCAAAAGAAAATTTTTAAAATTTATTTTTGATTTTATTTGAAACAAAAAAGTGTATCTTGTTAGCGAATGCAGTTTTAGAATTATATGTAAACAACGAGTGTTACTCTGATCAAAAAGCAATACTGAAAGAAAATTACTAAATGAAAATCGTAAGAAAAAGTTTATATGCGTAAATGTACTACATTTTAGGATCACAACACAATCCAACAACAATCAACACAATCCTGTGTTGCAGATTTTTCCGTATTTGTCCCCGTTTCTGATTTATTTGTAAAATAATTAATTAACCATGCTATAAAATTTTGCAAGTATTAATTAGGACTAGATATTATTGAAACTGGGTCGTTTACTATAAATAATAAATATAAACAAAATGTTTCTTTCTTGTCTCTCTGTTATAGAAGTACTGCCTTCATGACCAGTTGAATACTTTATTTATTATGATTTTGAAAAAAAACCACAAAAGATATAGAGTAGAACTTAGAACCCCAATAACAAATGAGTAGGTATTAAAAAGATAAAACGATAATTTTAATGGTAACTCTTCCACATACCTTACGAAGTGTGTTTGAGCTGCTTTTATTACTTCTTCTCCTGGTGTGAATATCCGATGATACTTTTGAGTAGCAGCCAGGGGCCTCACTCTATTTGAAGCTGATGCACTGCGAATATGAATTTTCTGAGACATTTTCTAAGTTTTCGAGCACTTAAAGACTGTTTACTAAAAAGTTAGGTTAATGTTCATTATTTACTTCACGTGATTTTTAACAAATGACACGTGATATATCACACATCTCACAGAACCAGAAACAAACAAATTAGAGATGTAATATGTCAAGATATAAATAAATAAATTTTTATTTTCGGTTATTGCACTCAAAATTACTGTGATACTCTCTAAAAGCAAAACAGAAATGTTTGTTTTAAAAAATCAATTATCTGCTTGTTGTTACACAGGTAAGTAAATTAAAAATAAACCCATTTGCAGTTTCTAAGTTGTGTCGTAGGGCTCCAGAAAAGGTACTGCACTAAAGCAGTTGAGCATATAGTAAAGGGCATTTGTGAACTGAACCCCAAAAAGCCCCTGGGCCAGCCTGCGCCTCATACACATGGTCATTTGTTAGGTGAAAATGAAGTAACCCCTTTAATCAAAAAGGAAGAATATCAATGTAGAAGGCAGAAATTAGTCGAGGCAATTGTTGGACATGCAAGGAAAAACAACGCTCAAGCTCAAAACCATATGGTAAGAAAGATCTTTTGGTTTTATCGGTAGAAACCTCTGTAGTAGTCAGCCTGCTGTGCTCAAGATTTTTAAATTTAATAGTTTTCTTGCTGAGAACCCACCGTTTTTATACCTACTTGTATTCCGGACTTTGATGATAATTCTGACTATTGCTTCAATTAACAAAGTTCTATAAATTGATAATGTCTGTCTCTACGAATATGTGACTACCATTGAATTCTAATTTATCTATTTATTATCTATATAACCATAAATAGAAGATGAAATGCAATTCAATTTTCTAGTATTTGAGGCAAAAATGTTTCTTCTCACAAGGTGAGATACAACACTAGTCAGTCAGGTTTACTTAAAAAATATGAATATAATTACATTTAAAAAATGGCTTTTTAAAACAATACGTTGAGTGTAACCACAAGTTAAAAAATATGGCAAATAGGCAACAAGTACTTATTGCAAGTCATCTTAATGCGGGTTCTTTTAAATAGCGACTTTAAACCTCCGCCAACAAGTCCAAAGATTTATCATGCGTGAAAAATGCTCTTTCTAGCCAGAAACCAAACCGATCATAGAAATTGAATGAACCAATTTTTCCCGTCTTTTAAAGAGGATTTTTTCTAATAGAAAAAAATTGGGACTATTCTAGAAACTTAGCATTTGTTGCCAGATGTTTCACATTATTAACAAAATCCTTTTTCCCAAGAATGCATGCTTAATACTTTCTGAGATTCAGACGACGATCTTTCTTAGTTCATCGCCTGGTACATGTTCATTTTGGTGTCTGAGTTGGCCCTTTATAAGCAAGGAAACCCCAAATTGCAAAATTCATATGGTCAAAGCCTAAACATTTCAGATTGTGATACCATCCACCTCTAAGCAATATATGTCTGACAAAATACCGTACGTTTTTCGGCAAAATAGCGAGTTTATTTATCTAACTGGATGTCAAGAACCAGATACTTGTGCAGTCATTACGACAGGAAACAACTCGTGGTAAAATGACTGGTTAAAGTAGATTTGAACTCGCATATTAAGGTTTGGATGCATATTTCAGTGATCACAAAACAACGCTATTTACAAGAGATAAAGATGATCATGCCGAATTGTGGGACGGGCCCAGAACCCATCCGGAAGATGCCGTTGGATTTTTCGGTGTAGATAACAGCTTACCAATGAGTGATCTACCGAAATTCTTGAATTCGTGTAGAAAATCAATTGGAAATATTAGCTTATGGTCAGTGTGATTTATTTAAAAGGCCTAATTAATCTATTTACCATTCAACTATAGGTATGATTTCGAAAGTGCGCCCCATAAGGAAATCCACAGAATAGTATGCGATTACCTAAAAGACTCTTGTAATAAAGCGTTCGACTCGCCTCGAAGTTTTATTCACAAGTTGCGGTTGTATAAAAGTGCAGCTGAAATTGCGTTAATGCAAAGGTCTTGCGATATAGCTTCCAAAGCTATTGTTGAAACTATACGCTATTCTAGACCGGGTGTAGGTATGTTAAAAGCTCTATGTGTGTTTTTTATCAATAATAGTAGAATCAAATCGCGGAAAACGCTGACGAACTATATTTTCAGGCGAAAACCAATTATTTGCCAAGGTTGATTTTGAATGCAGGATCAGAGGGGCGGAATTCTTAGCATATCCTCCTGTGGTAGCTGGAGGCAATAGAGCGACTACCATACATTATATCAACAACAATCAGTTGGTATATGGAAACGAAATGGTCCTTATGGATGCTGGTAGACAATTCATTTGTACCTTATCAATAAACTAGTGCTTAAGTCATTTATTTCTAGGCTGCGAATACCATGGCTATGCTAGTGATATCACTAGGACGTGGCCAGTGAATGGAAAATTTACAGGGCCTCAAAGGGAAATTTATGAAATTGTCCTGGATGTACAAAAAGAGCTAATTGAGCTGTGCCACAAATTGCCTACTTTAGATGCTCTATTTGAATGCATGTGTTTGTTGCTTGGAAAACGGTTACAAAGTGCTGGTCTTTTAGGCATACAACCATCTAACAATTACCTAATGAAGGTAAATAAGAAAATGAAAATATTGCGAGGGTGTATCAAATATAAACGGTACAATTTTTTTAAATTTTTACAAAAACATACCGGTTTTGTGAAATTGTAACTTGTAATCTTCGTTTCACAAATTTCTCCATATATTTTTCAAGCTTTTTACATGCTGACATTATTATTGTGTCGATCGCGTAGAGAAATCGACGTGAAAAGCTCCTTCCGGATAAAAAAAACTGCCTTGATCTGTCCGGCAGGCAACAGTTTTGGTCTTCACCGGGGGCTGGTGACTGATCTTTTTCTATTCAACTTTTAACTTGTTTCTCTAGCTTCGACCGAAAAATGCCTCAACTCAACCTCAAATAGATACTCCTTTTTTTCTTACAACAAACGCAGAAATTATCTGGCAGATACTTTGCGAAATCCGAAGTCGTCTGCCACGATCTGTTGGGCAGTTATTTAGCTAACGTTGAGTTTATCTGCAACATTCAAGAAATTTCTAGGCGGTCAAGCTGGCCTAGAGCACCAATAGTGACTAATTATCTAAATTGTCTGCTTATTATTTTTCATCCTCTGGAAAACTATTTGTGCCACGCAAAGACACTGTCTAATAGATTGACTAAAAACTTGTAATTATTCGTTGCTGCACGGAGACATCCACTGATTTTTAGCTGATAGTCTCTTGGCCGAGAGAAAATACTCAGCGGGCCTGGCAAAATCAATCCCATTTATGCTTGATATACTCTCGTAGTAGTTAAAAGTGGATTTTGATTTATAAAACTACAATTTTATAATTAAATTAGGCAGCTTATCAGTTATGTCCTCACCATGTATCACATTACTTGGGAATGGATGTTCATGACACTCCGACGATTAGTAGAAATATTAAATTAGAACCTGGAATGGTGATCACTGTGGAACCAGGTAAGCAACTTCAAAATCCGCCGATTTCATAGATTGAGAAGGTTAATTTTAAACAGGCATTTACGTTAACGAAAAATCGTGCCTTCCAAAAGAATATCGTGGAATTGGGGTGAGAATAGAAGACGACATTTTGATAACCGTAAACGGCCCAGTAGTGTTAAGTAGAAAATGTCCCAAAGAAGTGGACGAGATCGAGCAAATTGTCTGCGAAGAAATGTCCAGAAGCTGATAAGATGTAAATATAATAATAAGTTGAACTAGAAGTTTCCACCTCTGTGCAAAGGCCCTAAGTTTGTTAGAATGTTGAAGTTCTGTGTGGCATTGTTCTCTAATACTACATAATGGTTATTTTTTAATGTTGTGTGTTTTGAATGTAATGGAGTAGAAAAATATTAAACTTTAATATAATCAAATTGCTCCATCTTTTCATTCAATTTTTTAATTAACAAATACATACTCTAGTTCTATTTAATTATAAGGTAACTTGAAACATTGCAGGTACTTTAACATTTTTCAAATGTTTTTATAAATAGAAAATTACACGTTGGCACTTTCAGAAATAATATATCTACCATTCTAGTTTGGGACTTTTGATTGGTTCTCCACCTGGGTACACTCCAGATAGACATGCGGTGCAATGACCAACTTTAGCCGTACTTTTTGTCTTAATATCTGATCTCACAGCCTTTACCAATCCTTCGAGACTAAGGTATTCCAAACTATCTGCACCTTTAAATAAAATATAAACTACTCATGCTAGGTTTTGCGACATACAATGTTTTTACTGATTATTATTATTTCATGGATCAATTTTCTTGTTCTATTTTATGCTATAGGAGTTAATTGTTTTTATATTTTCAAATGCTGTTACAACCGTTTTTTCTTCATTTTTGTAAATGTCTATACAAAAAGAAAAATGTTTACTTTTTTGAAATAGTAGTGCTCATGTCTGGCATATTTTACGAAACACTGAAACTACTTACCCACGTGTTTAGCTAGTTCTCGCGAATTCATTTTATTCGCTATCAGTTCTTCTCTGGTTGGTATATTAATTCCCATATAACATGGATATTGCAAAGGTGGACTGGCAATTCGAATATGGACCTAAACATTCGATTTAGTTACAACAGTGTATTTTATATAGTGTCGCTTTTATGTATAGAAACGAATTATTTCCTAAACTAAGAAATCCTAAAGAAAAATCGTCCAACATTACATGTTTAAATTTAACCGTTCCGACATCAAGTGTTAAAATTATTTTTGCTGTAATTAGAATTAAATTTTGAGCAAACAGGAATGGTCAAAGGAAAATAGACAAGATTCATAAACAAGACACTTTTATTAATTCCCAGGATTGAATTGTAATTTTATTTTTAAAAGTGGCCAAGATGCGCGCGGTTTAGGAAATAATTCACCGTTTCTATTATTGCATTTAAATGGTTATAGACGCTCACCTCTATAGCTCCAGCATTTTTCAACAGCTTAATAATAGGGCCAATAGTGTTGCCTCTGACAATTGAGTCATCTACCAGAACGATTCTTTTGCCTTTTACCATGCCAGCTAATGCTCCGAATTTTTTGGCTACCAGAAGTTTGCGCAACCGATTGCTTGGCTGAATAAATGAACGGCCAACGTATCTGTTCTTGCATAGAACTTCCGCGAAGGATATACCACTCTAAGATCAAGGTAACAGGTTTAATGTGGATTTTTCAGCTTCAATTGATTGGGAATGTCTATAGGCCACACTTCCGAATTTATTTTCTTTTGCCTGTGAGAAAACGTTCTAAGGTGCGCTTACCTGTCGGGAAAAGCCATGAGCAGCTGCATTTCCTGACTCGGGAACAGCGCTTACTACATCAGCCTCGACGGGATGTTCAATAGCTAACTGCTTACCGCTTTGCAGTCTCACTGCGTACACCATTTGACCCTCAAAAATCGAATCAGTTCTGGCGAAATAGACGTATTCAAAGATGCAAAAGGCCTGAAAATATAAGTGTTAATTTTTATTTTCTAGAAGTCTTTGTATATTTCTTTACCTGAGCTTTGTTCTCAGGCCTGTGGACGATATCTATAGATCTAATTCCATGACGAGTCATTTCAATGATTTCTCCCGGGTACACTTCTCTCACGTACTGAGCACCGATTGAAAGAAATCCACAAGACTCTGAGGAGACAACCCAGCCATCCGCGTCTCTTTGTTCATCACAGTCACCGGATATTGCTGGAAAAAGCGACGGTAGAATTTTATATTCTCCCAGAAAGCAACTGGTTGCTTACGTTCGTTGAACGGTAGAATTTTTCCCAGACACAAAGGCCGATTTCCGTATGGATCGCGGATTGCGTATATTTTGTGTCGCAACATTATAACCAAGGAGTAGCTTAAAGGGGCCAGCTGCATAAAGTGTCGAATTCTGGCCGGCCAATCTGGTTCTCCTGTAGGCTCGCCTTCTGGAGGATTAAGGCAAAGGGCTTGAGTTATAAGTTCGCTGTCTGAGTGAGTGGATAAACCAACACCGTGCTCTAATACCTAAATGAAGAAAAATAAATTGAAATTGTAGGGGAAAACTTTCAAGAATGTGGCACGCACTTGTCTTCGTAGGCTATCACAGTTCACCAATTCCCCGTTATGTGCTACGGCTAAAGGCCCATGAGCTGTATGTACTACGAAGGGTTGGCAGTTCACTTCTTCTGAAGCAGCCGATGTTGAGTAGCGAGTATGTCCAATACCCACGCTGCCTTTCAGCTTCCTTATTGATTCGTCAGTGAAAATGTTGCTGACCATGCCCATTCCTTTAACCACGTTGAAGTTTTCTGATTGCCTGCCTTCGGTAGTTACTATACCAGCAGACTCTTGTCCTCTAAGCAAACCGTTAAGATATCATACATGATGAAATATTTACAGTTTTTTCGTGAAATTGCTGGCATATTAATTATAATACCTGTGTTGCAGGGCGACAAGACCCCAAGTGATAATTTGCGAAATTTCTAGATGTGTTGGCCATTCTCCAGTTCCAATAGCTCCAAACACGCCACATTCGTGCGTAAGTCCAGACAACGTTTCTCCTCTTTTTATCCTCTTCATAAGCCCTACTGAACCTTCCGATACATCGTATGTGACTGCGCTGGTAGTAGGAGCTAGTCTTTGCTCAATGGTGTCCATCTCAGTGGAGTTATGATGGATTTTTTACAATTTAAAACCAGCGCTGGTGAGATCTTCTAATAGCAAATGGACGAAGTGAATTTTAAATAATTTAAATACCGTTCGAAAAAACTTTAAACATTCTTTGCACGATTTGTTCATGTATTTAATTCAAATGCTTACCTGTTGTATCACTTTTATATGCCTAGAACGCAACTTTTAAGTAGGTAGTATACCTAAAGTATAGACAACAAAATTATTTACGTGTTGGATTTCTAAAAATTTTCCACGCACAGTGGGGGATCTGCTTGTCAATCCGCTTTCAAATAAATAATCCGCGCTGCAATTAATTCCCAGTTTATAGGGACCAAACGTTTGCATAAGAGATATTTATTGTTGAAATTTATTAACGATTCCTTGATAACCCCCTACGATGTTTTTCCACTGAGAAACCAAAGCGATTTCGAAATGATCTGTTGAATTTTCATCATGAGCGTATAATGGAGCGTTTCACAATGATATTAACTTTTTCGTATCACACTATTGGTTGTGAATCGTTTAGTTTTGTTACCTATGACCTCACGATTGTTGTTCATGCAGCCCGCTTTTTCAATTAACGAAAAATGTCATTCGATTTTAATTAAAATATAATGTAAGTATGCATTTTCTTAAATTTTTGTTAGTAAAATTTTAGGATAAAAACATTTAGACCCTTAGAGAGGAGCAAACCGGAGCTGCTTAATAGCACTGATCATAAATTCTGCAAATTTTAGCCAAATCTACAAATCCAAAGCCAAAGTTCAGCTAACAACTTTGTAGTCATCAGTGCATCAACCCACTTATTAAATTCCTCACATCCAAACGAAAATAGCTAGAGTTCGGTTCACAAAAATTTTCAAACTCAAGTGGTTATCAAAACTTTGTCGCTTCCATTCAGAACAGCTTTTTTTTAAGAATTTAGACTAGTTGAATTCCTAAATTATCAGGCTAAGTGGATTTTGGCAATTTTTTAAATTCAATAACCACTTTTTACTTCAAAAATGTTGGTGTCCGACCCAAACAATTTAGGGATTTGAATTTCTTTACCAAAAAGGACGATATCTAGTGCTTTAAATGCCGCAAATTGGAAATAAATCAATCGACAGCGTAAATTTTGCCAATTTTTTAGACTCAGATGGTCAGTTATTTTGCGCAAATAAAAACCAAATTTCGAAAATTCTTTGTGCGTCACGAAAAAATCGGACCATTATTACTACTTTAAATGCTGCAAACTAGGAAAATCGATTTGCAACGTAGATTTTGATAAATTTTTAAGTCCAGCAGAGCTTTTTTGGTCACAACAGGGGCAACAGTAACGGCTTGAAATTGGGCGAATTACAGCTTATTTGATTTACCAGAGATTAAATTAGAATATTTTTTTAATACGCCTAGCAACTTGCATAAAAAATTTTTGTATGCACATACAAGAACAAAATTTAAACACGGAAACAATATTAATGTATTTTCAAAACAATAAGCCTCTAATTGATTTTACGCTTCTTTATTGCTATTGTTTTTGATTATTAATACTCATCTTATTATTACTTAATTTCTTTAAATTTGTTTAAGGGTCTTACGACGTATTCTAACGGCTCTTGCGAGCCAAAAGGTCACATGCACCCATTTCAGTACAAACTACAGTACCTGAAAAGCACGTAATTTGAATTTTACTGTAAATTGGCTGAATGTTTTGTTGTAATTAGTTTTTATAAATAATTCTTATACGTGAAATCTATTTGATTTAATAAAAAAATAGTTTTGTATGAAAGATTTGTTTCTATCTATTGTTTCTCTTTAATTTTAAACTGCATCAACGCAATGGTGTGCACTTCTTTTTTTTTAACTTAAATTGTTCGGTTTGAGCATAATCTGTATACAAGTTAAAACTTACGACGAAATCATCTTGAAATTGTTTCTGAAGACAAAGTCATATCAACCAGCAGATCTATTAATTGAACAAATCCTCGAAATGCAGCAAAGTCATTATTTTAATAATTTATAAGTACGTAGATAAAACTCGCTTGTGATTATGATTTTGTGCAACGCAAAAAAATAATCAATGATTAACCAGAAAAATTCAGGATTGTCTCAGAATTACTTTTGATGCATACAGAGTGTTCACTTTTAAATTTCGTAATTGCCATTTATTCATCAATGCATTGTTGGAGTCCATTAATTGGATAATAACAGTAATTAATTACCAGTACACAAAAAATATTTTTCTGTTGTTTGTTATATGTAGATACCATTTTTGGATTGGATCAATTATTCGTGTTTTTTTACTAGGAAGATAACAAAGCAAAATATGTTTTGTAATTATACATATGTAATAAATACAAGGCTAAAATCCTTCCACTAGTTCAGCTTTCCCCTTGATGACTATGAAAATGGACCAGATCTTTTGAAGTTCGTTGCATGATTTATATCTTAAAATATCCTTTTAAAGACGTTGTTGTTGATCTATGTTGATATAAATAGCCACGAAAACCATAGCAAACTACAATAACTTGTTATCGAAATTACATTGAAATTGTAGTAATATTGTGACTGAATTATTGAAAAACTTTTATATAAATTAATGAAAAACAGTTGGCAAATATATTGATGCAAAATAAGTTAAGGCAACAAAACAATTATGGTCCAACTTGGTCATGCTATTTTCAACGTTTTATCATAAATTTGACAAAATAATAAAATTAAGAAATATGTTATTCTATTTATTTGTGTCCAAGTATCCAAAGTAAAACTTGTTATTTACAAGATCATGCTAATAAGATGCTCGCGCATGCGAAACGTATAAAAATTAACAAGATAATTGTTAATTTTTCAGTACCGAGTACTGATCAGCTTGTGTTAGGATATCAGAAAGAGAGTTAACCTAATTTTATTATAAGTCTGAGCTTTTTGGAGCTTTTTGACTTGAAAATGGCCGATAGTAAGTTAGGTAAGTTACTTAATTATTTTTATTATTAATTGCTTTAAAAGTTATGTTACGTTATGTTATATTATGTTAAAAATCGGAAAAGAAATCTGAAATATAAAAAGTACCTAGTAAGGTACTGGCGCATGGTAACTGGTACCAACTAGTGATGGGAAAATTGGAACTATTCGATTCGCGTTTCATATTTTTGTAATTTGATACTGGTTTTAACTTTAATCAAATATTTATTCATATACCGAGTGTTCCATAATGATGTTTAAAGGTGTTATTCTTTTAAGGAAAAATAGTGTAGTTTGCATTGTAACCTAATGTTTTATAAAAAAGGGACTTACATTTATTGAACAAACGCGGTTATAAACATTTTATAATTATTTATTTATTTTTTTACAAACCCAATTTTTATCTTTAGAAGTGGCGTGCATACGCACATTGGCTTTACAAGGTTTACAGGTTGTACTGATCCGGATTTGGTTTACAAAAAGCTTTTGTCTCGTAACAATTATAATTTTTCTTCGTTTGGTGTGAAAGATGAAGGTTCTTCGACCAATTTTTTCTAAGCTGCGTCGTTTTGAAGCAAAAAATCTTGCACAATTAATAGTTTAGTCATACAAATGAAACACCAATTTACTGATTGGTATCTACGTGTAATGAAATTTTTTATTAAATTCGTCACCGGAATGCTGCGGTTTACAGGAAAACAACCCTATTTACTTATTTCATTTCAAATAGTAAATTTCAAATTACTCCTTATTCCTTTGTTCATTCTGCCTACATTTTCAACACTCTGTTTTTTCCAAACGGAACAATTTTAGACCGTAATTATTGGCATTTGATTAAAGCACACTCTGTATATTAAGCTATAGTTATTATTTTGGAATCGAAATATAACAGCTAGATCTGGGTAGTTGTTTATTGCATTCTGTTAACAGTATAGCTATACCTATATTAAATTTGATTAAATCAGTCTAATTAGTATTTCGACTATGAAATCTGAAATATTAGTAATATCTTGATTATTCTTAGTGCTAGTTTGAATTCGTAATTCTCCGCCTACTTGTGATATGACAAAAATATCGCATTTAATAAAAGAAATTAATGGATTTTGAAATTCTTAATCAAGTTAAACAATTACCAATATCGGAGTACACGAACGACCTGAACTTAAATAAAAGCCATAAAGGCGCAAAGGCTTGAAATATTAGCGGACTGAAATCGAAATATATTCGATATAAGAATAATTCACCCTTTAAGCGAACCTTAAAATTGAGTCTTTTGTGTAAGAGAATTATTAATTATCACTTAAATTTAATTGAGTAACACAGATTAATAGAAGTATAATTATCGACATTTGTGTAAATTTATCATTTATCATCTACTAGTATCATCGTAGTATCATTACAGAACAAACGTTGTGGTTCCAAGTTGGAATCTTAATTTTAAGTCCTATTTTAATAATTTTGGAACTATTGCGAAATGCTCCCGAAAATTGTTCACGGATTTATTAGCAGAATTTCGACATTGTAGTTGGCGATTGCAAGATCGGAAAACTGATAATTGAAGGAAAAACTAAACAAGTCTATGAATTGCCTTCCGATCCAGGAAATTGCCTTCTGCTTAGCAAAGATAGAATAACAGCTGGCGATGGAGTCAAAGCGCACGACTTAAAAGGAAAAGCAGTAGTTTCGAATAAAACCACCTGTAAAGTGTTTGAAATTTTAAACTCAGTGGGTTAGTAGTTGCACTTAAGTAAATGAAGACACAGATGTAACACTCAAAGTGCTCATTTCCAGGAGTTCCAACATCGTTTGTTAAAGCTGTCTCAGATTCAGCGTTTATATCTAAAAAATGTGAAATGATACCCATCGAATGGGTGACGAGACGCTTGGCGACCGGTTCCTTCCTGAAGAGACATCCTGGAGTAAAGGAAGGCTATAGATTTGCTCCAATAAAGCGCGAAACATTTTTCAAAGATGATGCAAATCATGATCCGCAATGGTCAGATGAGCAAATTATCAGCGCCGAATTCAAATTTAATGGCCTATTGATCGGTAAGTTAATGATTACTAATATACATATGTATATTATAAGGTAAGATTAACAGTTTGTCTTTTTTTCCACAGGTGAAAAGGAAGTCGACTACATGTCGAGGCTCTCAATTTTAGTGTTCGAAATATTGGAGAAAGTATGGCAAACGAGGAATTGTGCCTTAATCGATATGAAAATCGAATTTGGAGTAGATAGCAATGGTAAGTCAAAATGTTACGATAATTTACATTTGTTGAAAGTTTAAAATTATTTGGTTATCGCGGATGAATATTTTTGAAAATCTATATTTAAGTCGGTAAATACAAGCCATTTTGGAAATGTTTGCATTATTAAAATTATACAAAACTGCCGTCCAATATAATACAAGTACAAACATTATATTGTTTAAAAAATGTTTTGTTTTCAATTTTTCATCCAATATATTTGTTAGTGTATTTACGTATTTAAAAAAAACACAAGAAACAATTTAATAAAAATAACTCTTTACCCTGTCTGGGAAAAAATATCGATATATTTTATGACCGATAACTGTATATTTTCTCGATCACGATAAGTAAGCTTATTTTCGCTGTCATGAGCTGTGATCATGAGAAGATCTCGCACTGTACTGTAAACATTTGTTTGGGTTACTCAGTCTTCAATTTGCATCAGTATGTATTGTGTATTTTATGAACATGTACTTTATGAAACTAAATGTATACATTTTTATTCGCAAATTATAAAGATTATCAAAAACTCCCAGAGTTAATTGTTTCTCTATATCTAGGAGAATAAAGCCCCGCGTGGGAAAATGGCAAATAGTTGCAACAATGCGATTAGAGCTAAAATTTAGTAATTTTGTAAGTACTAGGGGTTGTACTTTTGAATTTTTCTGATAAAGGTGGCGTCCTGTTAATTTCGTGAAGCAGTTGGATATGGATTACTAGTATTAAAAATAAGATATTTCAGATCTGCACCCTTCTAGAAGATTGAAAAAATGATTATAAGAAATATTTGCAAACATTTCCCCAAATGTTCCGATTTTAACAAAAGTTGGCTTTTTCAAATTCCAAAACGTATTTCTGCGATGCTCACGTGCGCAACTTTTCCATAATTTAACCGATTTTTTTAGTTAATATTCTTCAGTTTCGGGTTGTAATCGAAACATTGACATTTTTAGTGTATAACGAACATAAACTGTCCAAAAAACTAAACACGTTAAGGTTTACTTTAAACCTATTTTATTTTATTTAAAATTATATTGATTGATCAAATCTGTTGTTAGAAAAGGTAAGTAAAGTTTAAAGAAAAACCGCATCGAATAATCAGTACACCAGAATTAAGTACAAGATTTATTTATAAACATTTTCGTATACCATTTTCCAGTTCCTGTGAATGTTCGTCGGATTTACAGATAATTTAAAAATATTGCATATTATTTTCAGATGTATAGTATAGTGGTTTTCCAGTTATATCAATCTTCTAATTCATTTTTTTACTAACAGGAATTGAGAAATGTGTTTAAAATTAACAATAATCGCAAATCCATAAAAAAATTACCATGAAATGTTTCCTATTGCAAACAAATCTTGCATTAGGGTATCAGAATGTGGCAACTCTGACCTTACAGTCAACGTTGCAGCAGCTTTCCTTATCTCGACCCCCCGTTATGCATTAATTATGATAAACTTTCATTGTTTTCGTCACTTATCGGTACATTTGGTTCATGCAATTACAAGAGAATTTGTTTATCTGGCCCAATATTTTATCCGTTAATGACTATTTTAATTCTTTCTATACCCATGCATGTGATTTTATTTCCATTTTATACAGGATGTATCTTTAATGTATATACTTTCCTGAGTGTGTTTCAATTCCAAATCAAAATGTATTCCTGGGTTTCAGTCATTTATTGTCTATTTATCAATCAAAATACGTTTCGGTGTATTTTTCCACTATCATCAGTTTTTATGTGTAGCGTTGTTGCTACTAGTGCCAAGACTTCACACTACACATAAAAACTGATGATGGTGGAAAAATACACCGAAACGTATTTTGATTGATAAATAGAGACAATAAATGACTGAAACCCAGGAATGAATGTATCTTTAATGTAGGATAAAAATGGTACTATTTTTTATGCAATTTTTTGCTTCTATAGGAGATATAATTGTTGCTGATGTTATCGACTCCGATAGTTGGAGATTATGGCCCTCAGGTGACAAGAGATTAATGGTAGACAAGCAAGTGTACCGCAATTTAGCGACTGTAACTGATAAAGATTTGGATACAGTGAAGCGAAATTTCGAATGGGTCGCTGATCAGCTCGACCATTTGTTGCCACCAAGGTAATTTTTTAAGTAAGTTTCTAGATGAGTTATTGTCCTCTAAACCCGAAAAATATTTCAGTGATCATCTGGTAGTAATACTAATGGGAAGTTCGAGCGATAAAGACCACTGTAACAAAATACGAAAGTATTGTGAAGAATTAGGGCTTGATGTTGAAATCAGAGTGTCTTCTGCTCACAAAACGACTGAAACCACTTTAAGAATTATCAGTCATTACGAGTCTTTGAATATAAAGATTGTATTCATTGCGGTGGCAGGCAGGTCTAATGGGCTCGGACCAGTGATCTCCGGCAATACTGACTTTCCCGTACGTATTCAGTCAATGTTTAACGTAACTTCTGAGGCTTAAGTTTCAATATAAATTAATAGTAACGGTAATTTACAAAACAATAGATCTCTACTTTCTAAATAACGCATTGTGCATATTTCAATCTATCTGTCTGTTGCAGGTTATTAATTGTCCCCCTTTAACAAAAGAAGATATAGACCGAGACATATGGTCGAGTCTCAACGTCCCAAGTGGACTTGGTTGTTCTACTGTGGTTTATCCTGAAACCGCAGCTTTAGCAGCTGCTCAAAGCATTGCTTTATCGAATTACTTGGTTTGGTCTAGATTGAGAGTTCGACGCTTAAATAACCACAAAACGTTGCCCCGAGCTGATGAAGAAATGAGAAACAGTAACTGAATTATTTAAAAAACGGTTCACTTAAGTATATATGGCTAAGATTCAATAAACTAATCAGTTTTGTTATTAAAATGATCGTCTATTTTTGAGGTTTTGATTGAAACTCAATATCTCAGAAGCAGACAGTTTTGTATTTTGCAAGTTTTCAGCAATAAAATCTAAGAAAAATACATATTCTGTACTTAAATGTAGAATAGCAAATAATCCTTAATTAAAAAACGAAACAGTATAAAGTTCTGATACGATAAATGAAATCGGTATTAATTTCACTTCAACAAAATCTTAAACTGAACTGAAAACAGGACAATCTGCGTCATTGCATTTTCGTAAAACTGGCTTAAAAATATTGATTAAAATAGATTTTAGGATGAATGTATCTTACATTTTGTAACCACGATTATCTAGTTAATCATGAATGTTTGTACCAATCCTGTTACAGATGTACAAAACATAAAGGTAGCTTCTAAAAATCTAATTTTCCTTAGTACTTATTACCAAATGTTTCTTTAAAAAGCTTGGGTGTCTAAGTAATACTTCATATTTTTGCGTAGGAAAACGGTCTTTCATAGATCAAAGAAATTATGGCCTGAAATGAGCTTAAGATCTATCTTTATTAATGTTACTTTTCATTTCTTCTTCTGTTGTCTTAACGCCTGTCTCGTGAGTCGCTTCTTCGGTCTCGGGAATCAGACCTACGATCACGGGACCTGGAGCGAGATCTCGATCTCCTGGGTGAACGCGACCTATAAATCGAAGACAATTAATAATATCTATAAGCTGGCCATATTTTCTGGTGGATCTTGGGCAATCCTATAGAGTACCTACTAAAAGCAATGTTTGTTTGAGACTTTTGTTGAAACTTAAAAGTTGCGCAGTTTTATCTTTGATTTCTTTATGAAGTTGACCATGAGATTTTAAATATTTTTGCTAGATATACGCCTTTTTACAGTTATTCCTACCATATAAGTATACCTATATTAAGTTTAGAAAACAAATAGAATACTGTGTTCATTTTTTGAAAACAGACATCACCCACGACATTATAAATTTAGTTTAGAGTTAACGAGACTGAAGATGTAAATGCACACAAATCAAGATGGGACATTTAGCAAGCTAAATACCTAAAGTAATTCAATTCAATGAGCAGTGTTTTACATCAGTGCAGAGCGGACCAATTGGCTAAATGTTTCACTGTAGCTAAAACATTAACCCAAAATAGCCCCGCAGTTTTATTAAAAACAGCGGGTGTTTTCTTTTAATGATCCTTGTGACGCAAAATGCTACTCATTAAACTAACTGGAAAATTGTTCACTGCTGAAATGTACAAAATTACAGTCTATTAAATATAGCCCACCAGACTTTTGCTGAGTAGTAGAGTGGTTGAAAGCAGAAATTTAAAGTTGAAATTTCAATGGTGAGAAGTAGTGCCTAACCCATGTAGCGCTGCCACGTTGATAGAAGGAGATGTGCAGCGCTCTCAGCCCGAGAAATTAGGAGGCGCAGCAATGCCAGCTGGGGACATTGTGGCTGCATTTTCAAAAAAATACTGGCTGCGATGCCTTAGGTATTGGTTTATGAGGGATTTTCACGCGATGTTTATTAGAGATGATGTTGTAGTTGTGTTGTATTCAGAGAAGTCCTTGGGTAAGACGGTAGGGGGGTGATGTGTAGTCTCAAGGAGGGATGAGTTGGTGGTAGAACAGCGCCATTTCTGAAGGCACCCTGTAACGCCCACAAACCTATTTACCTTGCTTCCTTTCTATTCACTGCATTAGAGAAGTTTATTCATAAACTCGAATCAGAGCAAATAAATCGGTGTATAATAATCAACACGTACAGTTGAAGACACAAAAGTAGGCGACTATTGAAGACGATTTCGGCAAATCAAGCTTTCTGAAATATATGTAAATATTCGGAAATAATTAATAAATAACGGAAAATGTGTTTATGTCAATTCATTTCTACTTATATTGTTCGGTTCTTTTACCCGTAGATAAATAAGAGTACGTACATCATGTATGAATTTTTCAGTTTGAAAGTTAATTTTCTATATAAAATAATCACTGATTAGTATGTTTTCTAATTGATCCTGTAAATATGTAGGTGCACAGCAAAATATATAAATATCCCTTGTGCAATAGTAAATATTGTGTGTATAGCGACACATTTTTCAGCTTCCCATTAGATGAAACACGGCGGAAAATTTGATTCAGTCATTTGAATTGTGTTTGTATATAGTGTGATTAAATACTTAACTTCTCTACTACTCTATTTAATATTCTACTTTTATGTGTCGTCGACTGTGCATGCAGACAAATATTAGAAACATTTTCTCCAACGTTCATGAATAAACTTTAATAAAAGGTTGAAAACAAAAAAGAAACATTTCAATGTGAAATACGAAAAAGTTGGCCTATTCTTTGGAATAAAAAACAAGATGGCAATTGGTTTCGACACAAAAAGACACTCACCTGTCCCTTGAAGAGTATCGCCTCCTACCACCTCCACCTCCACCACCTCGGCGCGATCGTCCGCTTGACATTTCTACGCGTATCCTTGAGCCGCAGCATCGACTGAAATAGATAGAAAACATCGGTAAATAAACAGTTAAACAATTAAAATAATTATTCTTCTTTATATGCTATATACTGTATAGCATCCTGTATAGTATACAAACTCCTTAATGCCCTACTGTAAGCGCTGGCCCAGCCTGAACCGAGCCAGTATGGCTGTTTTTGACTAATGAGCCAACTACGAGCTCCCTGCAAACTTGTCTTATACGTCTGGCAGTAAAACACGAGTTTACGACGAACTTTTCCTGGTCCCGTGCATTATATAACTATGTGGCAATTGTAATTTGCATGGCATCTGCAATTTGGCCAAAACAATAAAACCATTTTTTAATGTGATACAATATTATACATGTTTGTAATGAGACGACAGGCGTATGAACTGTTTAAAAATTATACAGGATGCTTCATTGAGAAGTTATCGACTTTAGTTTCGAAGTAAACTTTGTCATGTTCTTTTGCTTCATCCAAAACCATCAAACTCGTGATGTGTACATCAACTGCAAACTGTGATCTGTACAGTTCATGTACAAATGACGAGTTTTCAAAAATTTATCTTGAAAAACACCACAAACGGAAGTGATTAGATTCATTATCGATCAAAAGGACGGGATCAGAAGGATCAGAAGGATAATGAATCTAATTACTTTGCGTGGTAGCTTCTTACGTTCCATCCAGCCCTCGGACTGCGTCTTCCGCATCTCTGGGATCTTCATATTCCACAAAGGCAAAACCGGGTGGATTTCGGGCAACCCACACATTCCTCAAAGGTCCATATTTGCTAAACGCACTTTCAATCTCGTGCTTGCTAGCTGATGAGCCCAAGTTTCCCACATACACTTTACACGACAAATCCCATTCACGAAAACGAGACATTTTTCAAGGAATTATAGCTGCAAAGTACATTACAAAAAATGGATGAACATTTGTGGCTTCTAATGCTAATTATATGCACTAATTTCATTGATTTTGCCCAACCACGCCATTTCTTTGAAGGTTAATTAAACGGAATACGCCCGAAAGTGATTAAATTGAACTCTAATTACTAATTTGGTGCCTACTGCATGCATGTGTTGAATTCGCCTATTGCATCAAATAAAATTTCAACTTACCTTTCCGCTAAATTTATAAAGAAAAAGATTTTAGAATGGAAAATATTTCCTTACTCTTTTCAATTGTTCCTGTCAAAAGGCTTGGCTTTGGCTTTCAGTGTTGCCAAGCCAAGAATTTCGAAAGCTGTAGGATAGATAGGCATATGCGTAGTTTTATTTTTAAAATTTTTGAAGTGGTTTTTACCTTAAGAAGAAGCATAGCTCCAAAACGCGCTTTTGAAAACAAAAAAAAATTGTCAAAACACAGTGGAATGTTAGGCTAGTGCCGAAACGAATTTTCATACGGTAAAAAAAAACAATTAATAACAGGCACGGGCCAAATGAAAAGAGTTGTTGGGATTCCAACTTTAATAAAAAATAAAATTTAAACACAGAAACACTGGTAATGGGGATGCATATTGGGGTTGAGAATCAGCCGCCTAAAATTGTGATGTCACACGGTGGCAAACAAGGTCGCCAATAGCAGCTTACCATTTTTAGAATGTGACAAAAATTAATTCTTAACTGTTCAATAGATATTTACAATTGTAAAGAAGAAATAAACCTATTATTACACATAATATGACCATATTTAGAACAAAGAAACGAATTCCAAACAACATTATGCATTCTGCATCTATATCGATCTGTACATTTGTGTCAACTGTCAGATTTAATGGTCTTCTGCATTTTACCTAATTTTTCTCAATTTTTTTCCAAAATATATATTAACGGACCCACTATGAATTTAAAGACAACTACGAACTGTTTTATTAAAGTGTCTAGACTGCAACATTTAACCAATTTCCCGTGAACATGCTTTAAATATCATTTTATTATTAATTAAAGTGTTCCCAAACATGACTTCTACAACGAAAAGTGGTAAGCTATCACAAGGTAAGTCAATATTTTTCTGTTCAAACATTTATTTTTACTGTTACTTTTTTATACTATTAACTAGTGTTGTCATTTAACAAATTGCATTCATATTTTTGTAATAATTCCTTTAATTCAACAAAAGTTTGCGATTAAATTGAGGAAATGGTGAATGTGGGGCAAACATTTTTTTATTTATTTTGGGAAAACTCAATGACCTCTTGGCACTTATTTTCGTTTACCTGCTAAATGATGTTATGTTTTACAGACGAAACTTAAATACACTGGCAAACCCGTCATACTTTGAGCCGTTATTAGTATAGTTTCAAATGTTTGCCTACATTTAAATGTTATCGCATTCAAATTGTTTATTGACTTAATGCTTTGTACCGGACTTCTTACTTTTTGCAGCAACAGTGTCATCTAAATTACAAAGTTATACTATATTGTTACAGAAATTTGTCGATAAGTCTTTTTTATAGGAATGTTGGTGGAGCTAAATTTCTGTAAAAAAATTGTATTTTCACTGTTTGACTGCTTGAACTATGTATTTCCAGAATATTTTATATTCATCATCTGCTATCAGAAAAAAATATTTTTTGCTGCAACTAACTGTGCTTTTATAACTACAGTTAATGTGTTCGTCATCACAAACAAGAATGTTTTGTACGAAACTTGAGCTGCTGATTTTTTTTGCGAAAATAAAAATGTGCTTAATAAAAACTCCTTTCATTTTAAATCAAGAAATTTTCCTTTATTTTTGTTGCTGTGGCGTACCATTGTTGCGTAGAAGATTGTAAAAGAAAACGCTCTATCTCCGCTAATAAGAAAAATAGCGAATGGTGCGCACTTAATTTGGCACACCCTCTATGCGTTCAATTCAATCTATAATGTTCGCGGTGGTGATAAAATTGATGCAGAAACACGTAGGAGAACAATTTTGTCTGTAATAAATACACGTTGTTTTCCTGATACTTGGGAGAAAATTGTGCTTAATTTCCTGAGTATAAACTCCCTTTCGAATATTCGTTTCATCCCACGCTTGACAAAGAACGATTACGAAATGAACTGTCTGTTATCCATTCAGGAAACAAGTGCAGGACTTTAAATGGAGCACTACCAGTTCTAAAATGCATAATAATAAGAGGTCCATTGAAAGAGATTTAAAAATATTTGATGTTGTGATTTAAAAATATGTGATGATAACAACGCACATTACGATAACGTTTCTCAACTATAAATCGTACCATAAGGTTTCTAAAAAATTCAATGACCGAGAATCGTTTCACTTCCTCATCCTCGCAATGGAAAATTTTAATGACAAAGTGATTACATAATTAGCGAACAGAAAAACAGTTGAGGCACTTATTTAAAAAATATATGTACGTATTTTGGCGTAAGGTTGTCTATAAAAATCATTACGAACCAATATTGATTTCCAAAATAACAAAAGTTGTCAAGTAAAGAAGTTATGGCAATTGTCACGTAGGAAACCACCTGCATATGACGCTCTTGATTAAAAGCTGCAATCATTAAAACAAAACAAGTTTTTCCACTTCGAGTTATTACAGTAAACGAAATTCGTAACTTTTGCAAAAATCTATCATCAAATTGTTTCAGCAATTTTTGGGGCACATTTCTTTTGATCACTTAAAACATCTTGACATCTTTACGAGCGTCTCATATAATATATTATATTTACATGAATAAAACATTTATAGAGGCCTAAAGTATGATATGCTGGAATTAACTTAAAAATTAAGGGAAATAAGAGCGTGTATTTTACCATTGTTTAGCCTTTTCGGTAACAGCTTTGTTACTGCTCGCTGGTAGAAAAAAACATTGTTTAATGCGCAAATTTAGATAGTACAGTAGAACCTTTTATTTATAGCTTTATCGGTGTATCTACTGATAAATATGTTATTTTATTATCCTTGCTGGCTTGGAACGATTCAAAGTTCTCCAAATTCTCCAAGTGAATTTTAACAATTAAAGTGCAATGGCTTTAGTACTAAATAGGACGATTTTTCCAGAAAGGAGTGGGATATCTGGTGGTTTGAGTTTTATTCAATGGGTTGGTATGTACATTTTACATTGATTTATTCGCATTTGAATCATCATACCATACATAATCGCTCATTTCTGTGTCATCAGGCTGATACTTCAATGGGAATTTTATGGTTTATTCGACAATTTGCCTTTAAATGCACTATTTAGTAAATATCAGCAAATTCATACATTTGGTCAAAGTTTCTCCAAACTTTACAGCTCGAAGTTTTTGTACTCTACACAATTGGGTTTATAGTGTATTTTGACCTCTTCACTGGAATAAAGTATCACTTCAATATTTTAATTCAAATCTAATCAAACACTTGAGTAAGAGAATACAAAATTTCAACAAAAGTAAACGTTTGCACGACTGCACGGTTGCACTTCGGTACACCGCTCCAATGAAATTTGCGTCAAAACTGAAAAGTTTGTAAATTGCTTTATGCTATTTTGCGCATACTCAAATAGGCGAAAGATGAACAATAAAATTCGATTTTTTTAAGCATAAGTACATATTTCGATCCTGATTATCGCTTCAAATTTGTTTAAAATTAATGCAATTTTGAAATAATTAAATGTTTTGATTATGTTATTACCTACTCTGTTATTCAAAGTGTTTTCTTCTCTGCGTCCTGTGAATATGCGCTTATTATAAATATACAAGTTGTCCCAGAATATGTAGGTATGCTTTCAGAAACATATACAGGGTGCCAAATTAAATGTGTGCCTGTAAGAAAGTCTACAGGCCAAGACACCGACAAAAATTATTTTTAGAAAATAACATTTTTTAGTTTAAGCTTCATACCGTCTATAAACAGTTTTCGGGTGTCTTTAACATATAGGGCGATAAAAATATAACTTCTATGTGCACAAGCTAGTTGATTCGCCAGGCTCAAACAGAAAAAGTTGATTCAAAGACCCTGTTTTAATCAGTTTAACTGGTATCGATAATATTAAAAAATTATCAAATTATACCTGGTAGGTAGGTACCAGGCACCTACCTACCAAAATATTATTATATATTAATTTTAATATGTGCAATCTGGTCTGCCCTTGGCGAACACAAACTGTAGGTACCTATAATATGATGGACAATTTTTTTAATATGCAGAGAATCCATTTAATGACTATTATGTCCTGATTTTACAGAGTTTTTGCTTGTTTGCTGAATTTTTTAAATCGTAACTACTTTCGTTGCATTCTGGTAATCAATTTAAAATTGTCAATGTTGCAATTCTCTACCCACGAGTATGTTTTATTTTAAACTTACAATAAAATCAAAACTGGACAGATTCCAATTTTTCAAAATGTAAAAATAAGATGATTACTGACAGTTTTCCAGACACTGTCCGTGTTTATGTTTTATTATTTGTCTCCCAAAATGCTCAGTTCTTTTTAGTTGACGTGTGAAATACATTAGTTAGTAATCGGTAAACTACGAAAAATGTGCATATACATGTGTGATTAGTGGGTTCATTTGTTCAAAGTATATTAATAATATTTGATTGTGCGCGTTATTCGTTTGCGTGATTGACTTGTTGACGATCGTTTTTGACCACAACGCCTATTCAACATTTTTAAACAACTAACTACAGTATTTAATAAAAGTTCTTTAACAGTTGTAACACATGTTTATGTAATTTCCGTGTGGCTGTTTTGATGTATAATCCAGATCTTATTTTAAGATCATTTGCTAACGTTATTTGAAACGCGCAAGAAAAAATAATCGCGCTAAGTATTAGAAGAACTATACTTACACAATAATTAGTTGCTTAGTGTTTTTTACCACAACTGTGCGCGCCAAATAACAAATACTATAGAGCGGGATATAATGTATTACAGTGACTATGTTTTTGAGCCAAGTTCCAGAAGACGAAAGTACCGAGTGATTCAGAAAGACAGACTTAAAAAGCATTGGACTATCTTATTATCGGTATCTGCTCTAGATGATGTCACCGGTAGGTAGACTGCTTTCCACTTTCACATCCAGAGATTTAATTATCTTTATTCAAAAATGCTTGAAACAAGTTCTGGTAATAATAACGTGTTCCTTCTTCGAACTCTTAAGTTTCTTGCATATTGCATCAATTAAATAATCCAAAAGTTAAGTTCTGAAAAAATTATTTGCGTTGCAGACAGTAATTAGTACGTTAAGTGCACTTGTTGCAAAAGTGCTTTACTTTCGCATGTCATTATTTTCAATATTATCCTTTCGATTTTCATCTTGCCTTTGAAAGCAGCATTATTTCTTATAGCCTGTGCGCTACAAGGGTACTTACATTTTCGAAATTTTCTAGTCATGAAGTACCACGAATTAATTAATTACTCTCACAAATTATCTTTATTAATTTTACAATAACCATTAAATTTTATCGACCAAAAATGTAGGAATTTGGTGTAAAGTTCATTGGAACTTTCACTGAGATGATTCAGCGGCCACATTATCATAGCCAAGTCCCAGCAAAGGATTTCCATCTGAAATTTTAGCGTATGCAAATCATAAATTAACCAGTTATACAGAGTGTTGGTTAATAATTCTGAGTTGGTTGCCGATTGAATAATTACCAAAAAATAACAGAACTTTCACAATACCTTTTTTAAATTTTAGCCCGGGAGGGTGTAAAAGGTTTTAAAAAAAATTTTATCTACGAATTGGAAAAGTATTTTGGTTTAAGTTAAGCAACATAATTCAAAATAAGGAAATTTAGATTAAGAGACTCGTTTAAAGATAATCAAAATATGTATTGAAAAAAAAATGTCTTGATTAATGTTCCTTTATCCACAAAAAAGTATTGGAGATCCCTAAAAGAATGTAAAAAAAAATAAAGAGCGCAACAGGGATACTTTGCTGCTGGATCGATTCCGAGTTTAAAGGAAAATAGTTACATAACTTTTTGCCTGCAAGTAATTTTATTATAAACATACGAAGTTCGGAAATACAATAAAATATTAACACATTTTTAGTGTCCGCTTGTGGAAAGGGAAATTATCTGTCGTCTTCACTGACATTATTTTGCATTCACTTGCAATGGGTGCAACCGGTGCAATATAAAGGTTGTGAGTAAAATAAACAGTAAATTTCGTAGAAAAATAAATACAATTTTGAATTTCTACTTCTAAAGTTTTCCTGTGCGAATTTTGCTTTTTAAGTTACAGGGTGTTACTTATCATTTGTTTTAAGTTTTTTTTATCCTACCCTAAATTGACTTATATGTTAACGTAATTAAATATTAATGACAATCATCCTGAATATGGAAAGAATTATATTCTCATATTGGAATTAGATTCCAGTTTGGATTGCGTGATGTAAAACAAAATTTTCTAGAGCAGACATGATTTGTTTATATTTAATAAGAGCGCATACTAAGCTTTCGATTAATATTTAGTTTTTATAATTCTCTTGTAAATAAAGCTCTGCTATCAAGTAAATATGCATTAAAATAAGTTAGCAATCGTAATCTTTAGAAGTAAAGCTCTTTTAGTCGTCGAAAATATACCAAACATATTACGGACGAATACACGATGCTTTTTCAATTGATAACATTTATTAGAATATATTTTTTTAAATACTGTAACCGTAAGAATTAAGTTACCAGAAGAGCTATTCTGAAAGAGCCAAGGCCTATAATTTTGGGTAATGAATCGACAGTTGATAGATTTGCCATATTTTGCCAACACCCTGTATAAAAATTACTTTTCAATTAATACTTCAATTTACCTTTCCTTTTATTCCTTTTACTTTTATACTCATCGCTCGAAGTTAAGCCAGTTCCCGTAAGAGGATTCCTATAAGAACTAGAAGGTCGATTCTCATCGTTGTAATTTTCCTTGGTTATTCTGCTTCCTGTTGGTGGGGAAGTTTTTTCAGATGGAGGGACTTCATTTCTAATGCATTTGTTAGAGTTATACAGCGAAAACAAATTGAAAAAATTACATGCTTTTGGAAATCATGACCGGTCGGTTGTTGCTTGCGAAATACTCTTCTTAATGGTGATCCGTTTACCGAGAAAATTGATGTTTGCAGTGTGGTGGAAAAATCCTTCAAAGAGAATATGTCGCTTTGGTTTCTAATCACTTTTTCCCTATAAAGAACATGGAACCTTAAATTTCTGTGAATTAATATCATAGAAAATTACCCTGGATCTGGGCAACAGGGTACGGAATCAGAGGACTTCTTCACACCTTCGTTGACTAGATTTATATTTGACTTTTCTATTTCACTTGTTTTTTCTTTAACTGAATGTGTATCGTTAGTGTGTGCTTGATTTCTGTTTTGATCGCCTGGAGTTTCATCAGCTACTTTTTCGGAAGGTTTGTTTGCTTCAATTTTTTCAAGACTCTTTTCCGATTTTTTTTCCACAATAGCTTCGGTTGTAGGTACACATATTTTTTCGGGTGGTACATCAATTTTTTCTATCTTTATTATCTTCTCTTCTGCCAAATCGTTTCCAGACATGGAAAGTGTCTTTAAAGAAAAACCGATCAGGTCTATTCAAAAGCCGTCTGATTTTCTAAATTATTAAGTTACTAATTGGATAAAGTGTTAGATTTGAGCTATTTGACCGCCTTCGTGCTTCCGAACAGAATGGTTTAAGCTTCGCAAATCCGTATATGACTTCATAACTTTCAAAGTAAAGCGATGATAAGCGGCGAGACAAATGGTCAATTAAAGTGATCTATATTTAGCATCTTGGTTTTTACGATGATGTTTTACACCGACACTGATATTTTCTTATTATGTGAATGCCTTATCAAAGATTTTTCAAAAACATGATTATGATAAATGTTTGAAAATATGTATGTTCATCTCATATTGATGTTATTTGTGTTATGCTGTCTGATTTATTTAAATATTTTGCTCATTGAGGTATGGAAAATTTATTTTTATTTTGTTGCTTTTTATATGTGCAATTAGGATAATATATATGTGGGGTCTAGAAATTTGGAACTACTCTTGGGTTGTTTATAGCATACTAAGCTGAAGTACTTACCGCCATTTCGATGGTTTTGACCTAAACTACTAATAAATTCACACTTTCTAAATTTCCTTTAGAAAAAACTCTAAATAAATAGCTTTTATCTTGACAAAAAAATTGCATGTCAGGATGACTTTCTGGTTTTGATAACAATCGCCATAGGTAACTCCAATTTTTTCACATATTTATATCTGTATAGGTATAAGTTTTTTTCGCGGCATTTGAGGAGCTTTTAGACGGTTTCATCAAACGCGGTTATTGTCTGATCTTGGAATTTCTCGATGCCTCTTTATCCCAATGATCCAAGCGATTCAATTTCGATGTTTCTACAGAAATGCAACTTCTTGTGTATTTTTATCACGTGCTAAGATGCGGAGGCAAGTGAATGATCAGATAAAGCGTCTAGAGAAACAGGACGGTATTCGAAATTATTTTGATTTTTATATTTATTAAATGTAGTTCCGTTTCATCGCGCTTCTTTCTGGATTAAGATTCAATTTTATTGCGCACCTTTTACCAGCTGCCTTCTTTTTATCTGTCTTGGTCAAAGTATTTAGAAAAATAATAATTGCACTGTAATTGCAATTACGGTACTGTTCACTGACTTAAGCATACTCGTAGCCAGAGTCCACACTCGACAATCTTTTTGCTAAGGACCTGCTTTTAGTTATTTAGTAGATTTGGTACTCCGCAATAGTACGGGTACTGGGTACCCAACCGCACGTTCGCTAAACACATGTTTTTACTTTCATTTGAAAACGAGATATAAATACTTTTTTCAACTGTGATCTTTAGTGCTTATTTGTCATTTAAAATGAATCAAAGGCGTCTGATCCTAAATTGGTGACAATGGAATTTTGCTACTGACTCCCTGTTTAATTGTGTGGTGTATAGTGCTACTTTTAAACGTCGCGATTGTTTGGTTTGTGACTATATCAAAGGTTCCATGGGAATACCTACGTTTACCACCAGTTTTTATTTATAGGTGGGTGCTTTTGGTCTAAGTGTCTAACAGATGTATGCAACAACTAAAAGAATGTTCAAACTGTTATTATTGTTAAATGTTTAACATTTCAAAAATGTTTCAAGCTCCATAATTGGTAATTAAAGGCTGGTAAATTTGCTCAACACAAAATGTTCCACTATTAGCAATTAATCATTTGCTATGGGTGTTGTCCTTGTGTCGCATTTAATGGTCGTGGAACATTTCTGAAACATCAAAACCTTTTTTAAGTATTCACCAGACGTATGTACTTTCTTACTAACTAAATAATTAATTTATGAAAATTGACATACAGTAAAATAATTTAAATAGGTACATTTGAATAGTTTTTAAATAAAAAGTCACTAGTAGGTATATTTTGTATATATGAACTTCAAAAATTGTAGTATTGACCAAACTGTTGAAAAGCTGAAGACTGTTGCCGAAGTTGAGTACCAAAGTTTTGGAAAATTTATTTCTGATTCATGATTTGTGAATTTTTTCATTCCAGTTTGCATTTTTCTTCTGAGGTTTCGCAATTATTCCATCCAAGTAACTTTTAAAGGTGTAAATCAAATTACATGGATTCTTGCCAAACAGTAGATTGCTGAGGGTTTTTAAAATAATTTGAACAATTACAAGCTTAAACTCTACATACACAGATTAAAGATAATACCTACTAATTTATCAAATAAGCGATTTTTTAAATACAGTTTTGTTTCATATATTTAGAACGAAAAAATAAAAATACTTTCATCCAAAGTATTTATTTGCATTTAAATAATAATCCTGGATAATGTACAATATATATAATACCTACATTGATAGTGTATTAGATAATATATTTTATTTAAATTTTGCTTTTTAGTAGGTATGTGCAATTTAATTTAGGAATATAATTTTTATTTGTCATAAAAGTGCACAGGCGTATTTGAATGGAGACTACCAAAATATGTAAAAATATAATATTTAATTGCCGCAACGTAAGCCTGTAAGATAACATTTTCTAAATGACTAATAATTGTTTAATGTCTCATAAAGCTAAATTGTATTAATATCAATTGCTGCAATATTTTTTTGTTGTGCATACAGTTTGCTTTCAATTTACATCAGAAATATTTCCTCCATTCATTCATTTCATTAAATTAACGTTACATTTAATACTTATAATATTTTCTGTTGGATCGTAGGTGTCCAAATCTGATGGCAACGCCTTAGCAAGAATTATTTCATGTTCACGATACGTCTTATCCGACTTATTAATAGATACATAAATGACAGTAAACTTTTCCAAATCAAACCGCAATTCACATCAAGAATTGGCTTACGCTCTCACGCTATTAAGTCAATGTAGTTGCATAGTAATTGTTAAAAATACATTTACCAACACCAGCCTTGACCATCTAAAATGATTCAATAATAATTGCGGCATTTTTGAAAAAATGTTTCTATAATTAAAGATTAGTGGTTTAGAAAATTAAATTTACACAAACAAATTCGTTGAAAATAGAATTTATCACAGCTTTGTTTATTATAATAGAGTGGGAATCTTATTCAAGGATTTTTTTGCTGTAAACTGTATACTGATTACTGTTTTTGATGATGACAAAAATTGTTTATTATGAATATTGCTTATTTATTTTTTGATATCCTTAATAATATTTTTTTTGATATCCTTAATGGTATTGCATAACCTCAAGCTCTGTTTTTACGAAAAAATATTGAATTGTGAAAATCAATAACTTTTAACAAGAACAATAAAAAAATATGAAACTAGTGCGGATATCCCAGTAATGGCCATACTATTTTCATAATGGTTCACTAGTTGACCCACCAATAGTGAACGCCACTTATAGCAGCATAAAACAACGTGAAGGTCGGATAAAACTTTATTTACAGTTTTTGTTTAATATTATTATATTATATTTTTTCTTTAACGTTTTCAAATTTCATTAATATTTCTGGTCTTGACACATCGCCGAGAATTTGATTGAACCGATTTTTTTTTTTTTCTGTAGCAAGTTTTTTTAGCTTCACGTAACTGGTTTCTTACTTGTTTCTCTTGTTCCTTTTTATTTTTTAGTTCCTCTTTTTTCTGCAGCAATTCAATCATTTGAGGTGAAGTTACAACCACGAGTATTTTATCTTTTACTTTTCGTTTTTTAGGGTCCTTGTCAGCTATTGGCCAGGTTAAAAATTTTTTAAAGGGTGTTGGTATATAAATATCAGATTGTGTTATTCCAGTTGAGGTGGAGGCTTGGTGGCGTTTGAGAAGCGTAGTATTTGGAATGAGGAGACTCTACATTTTGATGAATTTGCTTTCTTACATGTTGTTATTCGGATCTAACTCGTGTCATTGTATTACATTGTTTTTACAGAATTAATGCCTGAATCGAGCACATTACGTAATTTTCACGTCATATATTCAGTAGTAGTAGACTGCGAATAATAAAGCAGAAGCTCCACAGTAAAACAACATTTTTGAGGAAGATTTATCTAATTTTTATCTGCTCGAATGACATTTTACATCTGAATAAATCTTTCAAAGATCCCTTAACAACGAAACAGAGAAAAATTTTCAATATGTATTCATTTTATTAAAAGTGTTTTACGTCGGTGGTGGTTTGAAACGTGCAGCAATCTTTTGTTGACTTCGAATGCATCGGCACTCTTTGCATGAGCTTCTCTGTTTTTTTTTCTTTGGTGAATTTGTGTGTGTTGTGCTGCAATTAGAAGTAAATAGATTTCAGTTGAAGTGAAAATGTTTAATTTTAATCCCGCATTTTGTTCGTCAGATTCTAATTGGAAGGGATTTGAAACAATAATGCCTTCTGTAGGTCGAGTGGAATAAAGTCGTACCACTTTCAGTAGAAATATTCGAGATAAAGATATTTAGACCGTTACAAGCTGAATTGTTGATTGCAACGCAACAAGCAAAGCTAATTGCTGAAGAAAATTACTTTGCTGGCTACTAATTATTCGAAAAGTGAAATCTGTTATTGAATATTTTCACGTGCAACGCTTTTCAGTATTAAAATCGTATGGGGAACAAGTAACAACTTTCAATAACAATAAAGCGTCAAACATAGTCAAGAGTATGTGCCAATAAAACATGCTAATGGTCGAATAATTAGTTTACCACAATACAAATAACAATCCATGTCGGTTAATTCGCAATTTAACAATTGTTAAACGACGCACATTTGATGAGCGCCTTTATAAGGACATGCAAATTATTTACAACACACGATAGGCACACCAAATTTGTTGGTGTTTCCTGTGCCAGTGACCATATTGCAAACTAGTCGCCAAATTTGATTACATCATGTTTATTTTGTGCTTAAATCAGCTTGGATAAAAGATAATCGCTAAAGCTGCATTTAAGAAATGGCAATATACCTGATCTGATAAGAAGCTAGGAAATATTTTTTTACTGAGGAATTTATTATTCAGTTTTGGCAACTTTGGCTATTTTGAGAACTGTACAAAACAATAATACCAGTTTTATTTGGTTGGGTCAACATCTAAGCAACCAATTCGTTTTTGCTCGTGTAGGCCTGTAATTGGAAAATATTAGTTAAGCGCTTTTAAACCTGCTGCCATCAGTGTCTTTCAAAAACATGTCAGAAACAAGAAAAGCAAAGAAGTCACAACTACATTTGCAGGAGAAATATATTTTCAGGCGCAACTGAGCGCAACCATCCGATATTAATTACATACTTGTATGTACTGATGATATCTTTGATATTGTTAGAAAAAGTAGTACCTATTCATATTTTTGAGAAACTCCACTTCCAATTGAAGAAAATGAATCCCTGATGGTAAATTTCAGGATTGCACGTATATGTTTTATGAAGAATAATTCTTTTCTTTAAAAGTAATAATAAAGTTACAATGGAAGAAAGTGAAATAGATGTACAGTACAGTATTTTCGAAATGTTTTGTCTTGCGAATTTATATGATTAAGAAAGGTGAGTTATAATTAATACAACTAACAAACGAAACCATAGACAAAAAAAGGAAAAGTCAGATCTGAAGAGTTACCGGAAGTAACTGAGGAAGAAGTAGTGGAAGCTCTGAAGAACATGAAACGCAACAAAGCACGCGGAGAGGATGATATTACAAACTAATAAAACTGATAATTGATTGATAAATGAATGCCTCCAACAAGGTAAAATCCCGGATACCTGGAAGAATGCTAAAGTTATACTTCTTCATAAAAAGGGTGATGGGACTCAACTGAAGAACAGGCGGGTTTTAGAAAGGATTACTCAACTGCGAATCACTTGCTTACCATGAAGCTCTTGATTGAGAAGTGCAATGAATACAGGTTCCACTGAAAAGAGGAGTTAGACAGGGCGATACTCTATCACCCAAACCGTTCACACTCTGGAGGGCGTATTTAGAAAACTGGATTTAGATTTAGATTTAGAAACTGGAATGGTTAATACTTGAGCCACCTACGTTATGCAGATGACATAATCATAATGGCAGAAGATCCTATAGAACTGGAGAACATGTTAAATAAACTAAATGAAGAGTCCCTAAAGATTGGACCGAGAATCAACATCAGTAAAACGAAAGTAATGCTTATGGGGGAAGTCATAATGCAAGTGGGAAACCAGAAATTGGAGAGAGTGGAGGAATACATATATCTGGGTCAAAAAATTGTGTTTGGAAGAGAAAATCAAACAGTGGAGATAGAAAGAAGAATACAGCAATCCTGGGCGGCGTTTGGGAAACTGAGTTATATACTCAAAAACAGAAAAATAACGTTAAATAACAAGAGAAAAGTATATGATAATGTGCTGCGGAGCGGAGAATTGGACAATGACATCAAATAATCTGAATAAGATCAATTTCTTGCACGTAGAATTAGGCGAACGCCTTGTATAGTATCAGTCAATTTAAATCAGTTGTATTATTATCAATATGTATATGCCTAAACAAACGATTGTTCGTAATTTCTTGAAAGTCTTCTATGCAGAATGCATAACCAAGAATAAAAGGCGATGGATAAATAAATGAAAACCAATTTAAACTGAAATAAAAAAAGTTTTATTAATAACAGCGATAACTGTGCAGTAAGCAATAATTATAAATGCTGATGGTTCATATTAATGCCTACTTTATATACTACTATCTATTGCAATTGATTTATTACTTATAATCTTTTATATTGTACAGTATTAAGTTTTACCCGCATTTTCAAGTTCCATGTCTAGTTATGTATTTTAAAGTTCAAGATATGCTGCGTAAGTGCACATGCTTCTGAATAAAGTTGGGAAGTCGATTGATTAGCAAATTTGTGGTTGTTCCAGAGACTGAGACCTCTCCTCAAACCCAAAATTCCTCGCCTCTTGCGGGACCCGGACCTGGAGGCCACAAGCCTTCATTCAAGAGTAACAAATTAGCGCGCAGAGCTCGTTCGTTTAAAGACGATTTTCTAGGTAAAAATCGTTGTTCGCTATTAAAACAAAATAAAAAAATACCGAAATAAACAAGTAAAATATGTTATCATTTCTCTCAATTGTAACTTCGTTTCAGGTAAAATTTCACAAATGCGAAGTCCCGGTTCATCGGGGACCTTAACTTCAAGGGCCCAAAGTCCCAAAAATATGGTCCCGAAAAGGTCACCTATTGCGGCCCAGAAATATTCGGAAGGAAAGGGGCCTATTCAAGATCTGGAAGGATGGAAGAAGCAGACTGAGATAGCATTGAAGCATTTAAGGTAGTGGCTATAGTTTTTTGTTTGAAGCTAAGATGAGGTTTGATTTTCGATTTTTTTGTTCACCATTTTTCTTTAGCTTTAACTATGAATATTTTTTGACATTGGCTGGTTGGGCGAAGTTGTAAATCTGTAATTTATCGGTTTTTTTTTGCGAGCGCATCTAGTTGCCTTATCAGCTGAGACAGTTCAAGCGAAATAAAACTGAAGTTGATTTTTTCACAGGGACGTAGTAGCAAAGAACAAATTAGAAATGTTGCCGGGAAATGGCACAATAATTCTGGATACGATTTGGTCAATAAATTTGTCAATAAAATCTTCAATAAACATCGATAAGAGCAGTAGTATAACTTCAGCCACGCATCGAGTTTATCAAGCTGTAGCAAGGTAAGAGTGCTACTGTAGATGATATTGGAGCTATGACGTGATGGGAATATTTGTAGTAAAACTATATCAATTTTTTGCAGACTGATTAAGTTGTGTGATGACGCTCTTTTGGATGATCAAAGCTCAGAGTTGAAGAAAGAAAACGTGAACGAAATCGTAGCACAAACGGAAGATGCAGTTAAGGTAATTGTTCACATTTCACTTCAACTTTAGTTTCTAGTGAGTAATTATTAAATAAAATACCAATGTTATGTAGTTCCAAAGAAAAAGTTCAGTAAGTTATCGTACACGTATATTTAACTTTTTGATAAACCTGTTGCCACATCAACCATTTTACTTCGCTTATTGCAGATAATCTAACATACCTTTTGTATTATTCAGACTTTAATCGAGTTGGCACAAGAAAAAATCAACCAGCAGCAGACTTCGTATAAAACTACTCCTAGATCATCATTTAGTAACTGTAATTTAGATGGCCAGTCACAACGTAATTCATTACCAGGTAAAATACCTTCATTCATTCACTTGTTCTGTGTTGATAGTTGGTGTATTTTATAGACATACCGTTAACTCCAAGAGAAAGAGAAATATTAGCACAAACTTCCAATTTACCCATCAGAGCCAGCCATAGTACTGAAAGTATTTTACTCGATGCAGAAAGTCCCCCTCCAAAGCCTCCTTTGCCTGTTCAGTGAGTATTTAACCATTTTCTTACTGTTATTTTTTCAAATTAATTGAACCAATGGTAGATTTTTTGGAATAAGAAATCGCGATGATGTCGTTAACTGCGTAACTCCACCACCTTTGCCACCGAAACGAAAACATCATCTACATCATCTAGCAGATGACTGTCACAGTGCCGATTGTTCACCGATCTGTAGTAGTTTAGAAAGGTATGCTTTAAGATTTAAAAAGCATTGAATTTTATAAGGATTCGTTGATGAATGTTATGTAATTTGCCATTACACATAATTTAGAGTGTCGCTTAGATCAAAATCCCCAGAAGACTCAATTTCATTGCTTTCGGAAGGGACCGGCAGTATTGATTCGATGTTGAATCATTCGTCGAAGGAAGAAGACGAAATTAAGGTTCTCATGGATTCCGATCAAGATCTCATCTTGGACAATCACAACTCGGATATTTTTGGAATAGGTAAGAAAATTGCCTGGTCTGCGACTCAAGTATAAACATTTGATTTCTATGTTGCAATGTGAATTACTTTCGCTAAAGCTTAAGTAAATCGATGGAATTTTTAATGGAAAACTTGATTTGTTTCATTGATTTCAGGTCCTAACTCGTGGGAAGACTCGTCGAGTTCCGGGATATCCAACAACCATCTTGATCTTCATGCTTCAGTTAATGATTACCATCGTTTATCCAATACTGACTCGGGAATAGTATCTTTCCGGTCGTCTAGTTATTCGAAACGAAGTTCCCAACAGAGTTCTGTCAGGTAAGTTTAGGTTTATATTCTTGCCAAATTATTGAAAAAAATTATCAAATTTATGGTGATTTTACTGGACGTATTTCGCAAAACTGATCAGTACTTATATACTTCTTTAGTGCTCAGTTTTGCACATCACGCCCATCCAATGAAAACCTCCTGGACAGCCCATCGACAGTCATCAAAAGTTTCTCCCAAAAATCGTCTAGTTCCAGTTCCACATTAGTGGTGTCCAACAGTTCGCATTCCATTGTATCAAGACAGGGGTTTGAATTAGTCGGAAATGAAACTCCGCCAGCGATTCCGCAGAAAACTAAAAAAAAGACTGAACCCAGACAGCCAAGTCCCTACGATAATGTGCCAGACTTTGACCATTTAATGGGTAAGATTTTATTTCGGAGTAGACCTGCCTTCCTTTTGCTACTTTTTGGATTGTTTGATCAGTTAACAGAATTATTAGAGCATATTAACAAAACGTTTTCATTTAACTTTCGTTTACAAAACTATAATTTTGTTAGGAGAAAACGTACAAGCTGAAGTCTTAGTTAGTTGTCATCAGCACCAATCACACCAGCAAAGAAGTATTATATCAAGCAATTCCAGTATGAATTCCGGTTGTGATGATGTGGATAGTGTAAAGCCTCCACCGCTACCACCCAAGAAGAAGCATAGTAAGTAGATCAGTAAAGTACTAGTTAAGAAAATTATTTTAGTGTTAAAAGTTCCGCTGAAGCGTAATTTTTTCTATTTCGCTTTCAATTTGCCAAGTTTATTACCAAGAGGATTAAACATTTCTAAGATTCTAAATTTCTAAAGTTCTATATACTTTTTATTATTTCTTTTACCTTCTTAATCTTTTTATAATACGTGCTTAAATATTTTGTAATCCATCAATTTCATGTTGTGCTAGGTAATTCTGGGCTGACGTTTTTTTCTATTCAATATTCACTCAACTTTTTTTTCCAACATGAGTCCACTCTAAAACATATAGCCGATAAAAATCTGTTAATTATCTCGTGTTGATAAAGTCACGCATCTTACATATTCAGGGACAGTTAAATCATTGTTTACTCTAACATTATTGTAGTTTAATTTGCGCTATTTTGTCCCACTATAGTGTTCCAGTCGGTGGCTTACAGTGGTGAGTGACTAAGTCCAGCCAGTTTTATGTTCTAACAATTTTTCTGAAGCTTTTATGTGTTTGTTACTGCGCCAGTGTTATTCCCTGTAGTGCCCAAATTTGTGAAACCAGAACACTTATTTTCTAGTTTCACAGCACACTGTATTATCGTTACCCAAAGTTTGTGATATAATTGACTAGTACTATTTGTTTGTAATAATGAACAAATACCTAGAACTAGTTAATTTATGAATATTGTATCTAAAACGTGTTTTACATGTTCGTTTGAATTTAAAAAAAAAGATGCATTTGAAATGTTGCCTTGTATCTGTTATCGGAAACGAAAAATTTGACAAATGTACATTATTATTACCTAATACAAGTAAAAACTGTGGTAATATTGCCTGTGTATACTTTCCCAACTAAACTAATTAACAGTGAACTAAATACGTGTTAAAGCTTAAAGGTTCTGTAGACGCTTAACTTAGTTGTCCTAAAACCCGCGCTTTTTATTAAACTGGTCTGTAGAGAGGCTGCATGATTCTAAAACTATAAAATCCCGTTTCTTCTTTTGACTTTGTAGGTTGGGGCATGTACGAACGCATGGACTTTAAAGGGATTTCTTTGTTTGTTTTAAAATTCTTAGGTAAATATTTTATATCACATAAATGTGTCGCCGGTTTCGTGCTTACCTTACATGTTTACTTCACATTGTACTCCGTTTATTAGAGTATCAGTGTTGGTTTAATGTACATATTACGATTGTGTTTTGTACTTCACTTCAAATCAGTTTCAGTTCAATTTTTTTAATGTTATAAAATATTGTATTCAATCAAGTGCAATTCAATAATCAAGCAATTTTAGTATTGTTTTAAATTTTAAATTAGTTATAAACCGATTTATTTTTTCGAAGTATGTGTTGTTTCACTCAGTGTCTTCAAATCTGGTAGTGGTTGATAAAACGTGATGTGTAATTATTACGATTAACAGTGAGGAATTCAATGCATGCTGCGCTTATTAATGAAAATATGCATGTATGCGTTTTTTGTAATAAATGTTTTCGACGAGAAAAAGTCTTCATTGAAAGATAGTTTTATATTTTTGGGTTGTTAATAAGTAACATTTTTGTTGGTTACAATTTACTTATATCTACTACATTTAAAGTAATTAAAAATTGTTGTCCAATTTAACTTTATAACTTGATATAAGAGGTATTGCAGCCTGATTTAATGCAATCCTAAGCCCTGATTTCACTTGGTGGATTTAACAAAGTTTTACTGGAATTTACATAATGCATGAAGTAACCGTCAATGACCATGTTTTGTTTGTTGTAGAAAATATACATAGTTGGTGGAATATGAATCGGCTCTTTTAAAAATGCATGTATATAACTAAACATAAAAGGGCAATTATCAATGTGTTTATTGACATTTATGAATTTTTTGCCGTTACCGACACCTCAGAAATAACGTCTTGCGAGGCTCGCAAATTTTGTCGTTTTAGCTATTTAATGCTTCTAGTCTTCTAATTGTTCAAGCACAGACAATTGATGTACAACTGGACATATTTAGGAAGTACTGTACTTTTTACATATTTACTATATGAATTATTCAGCATTTAACAAGTAGAGAAGGATTTATCGGAATTACTTTTATCGATTCAATGTCTGATAATTCTCAGATTCATATATTTATTATTTGCCTGTTGCGTCTTAGTCTAACCGCAATTCGTTGATATCTTTAGTAATGGCCTACATGGAGATGTTTGGAAACTGTTCACATACAAATGATGCGGAGTTTATGCGCCACTCAGTTCATATGGTGCAGTCTCAATGGGGTACTCCTTCAATAACAAGCCTATCGTCCGCGCAGTCCTGCTCATTTAGCCATGCAACGATTCAGAGCTCGAGCAGAAACGCACAGACGCAGGCACTGAGTTTGCCACATTCCAACGCCGAAAGGTTGATAAAGACGATGCCAGCTAATTTTGAAAGAACTAATTTAATTTGTTGGATTTTAGAGGCCCCTCTCCTTTACATTCTCCAAATGCCACGCTATCGTCATCATCCAGTAACAGTTCGGTGATTCCGCCCGCTTTGCCACCCAAACAAAAAACTCGAAAAACATCGTCAAAATCCCCGCCTCCAACCCCAACTTTAGTCACTTTTCTACCCGAACCCAAACGTACGATGTCTCCTTCTCCGAACCAAATGAAAAGTTTGCCGGATTTGTTAGAACATACAACCAACAAAAGTATTGGCGAAAAAGAGGAAACACCAGAAGTAAGAAATTTGCTTAATTTAACCAGTTAATTAAAATACAATTATGTAATTTCTTCACACATTAACAGTTACAATTTAAAACCATCCTAAACATTAAAATCAACGGATTTTACTGAGTTGTGATTATTTGGGTTTTAAATGTAAAATTTAAACACAGTTTTCGCTTTCATACTTTCAAGTAGTCGCATTATAGTTTTGATTCTGTTACTGTTTTATACGCACTCTTGAATTACGCAAAAAAGTAACTTGCAGACGTTCTTTTGCTTTATTTGTATTTTCTAAGTATTTGCCAATTATTAACAATTATTTCAGATTAGTATAAATGAAGCAGATTTAATGGAAAAGCTCAACGTAGATAAGTATATCATTATGAAAAAATCAGAAGAAGATGGTCCAGAGTTGAGAGGAGGAACTATAGATGCGCTGATAATTCAAGCAATAAAAGCCTCAAAACCTGGAGGTAAGTTCATTGATTTATTTCATTTTGCAAACATCCTTCAAATTGTCTCTACATTCGCTCATCACATCGTGCAGTTTTAGTCATTAATAAAAAGATAAACTAAGCTTTCTTATGACATTTTACACATATTTTTCCTATCCTCGGTCAGTTGGTATTTGGGATCTGTTTAGAAAAATCACGGGTGCGATTTTAAATTAAAAACTCCACTGTATTAAAATATATACATTTTATTTGTTGAATTCAATTGAGAAAAGTTATTGTTCTTGTTTTATTATTACTTATTTGCGGCTTGCGGATTCTTTATAAAAAATGTATGCAATTGCTGAAGGTTGAAACTGACAAGCATCCTGAATATTGTAAGTGAATGAAGGAACAAGGAAATAAAAAAAAAGAAAGTCAGAGAAGACTTGAAAATTAATATATTTTTTATTGTAAATACTTATTCAAAGTTATAAAGAAAAAAGTTTTAAAAAAATTGGAATTTCGTTGGCAACGGATGTTTATATTAAATCAGTTAAAAGAGTTCTTGAAGTAGATCATTCAAATCTTCTTGCTTAATCCCTTAAAAATGTCGCCGAATAAAATATCGTCTTAGAACGAACTCCTAATTATAAATCTATATATGGCGCAGTTGGTAGGATACTTGCCTTCCATAGATGCTGCTATATCAATCAGCTTTTTTTGTACGCAATGTAAGTACGCAATGTATGTACGCAATTGTAAGCAATAGATGTGTTGATCTCAATCAGAATTATTTAATTCTTGGGGTGTAGCAATTATATTGTCATACCTTTTTACGAACTTGTTTAGACTATTTACGTCTTCTTCGTAAGATTTGAAGTTTTCTAATTTGCTTCTGAGAAAATCGCCACTTTATTTACTTTAATTGATATTTCGTTTATCTCTTGAAATAAATCTTCGATTTTCTTCTTTCGCAAAAAATTGAAAAAACTGTTAAATGTTCCAAATTCCTTATTCATAGGATCTAAGATTCTCGATTTCCCGTCGGAGCTTCTTGTGGTCTAGCGACTCAATCACGACTTGCTCCCCAAAGAACAAAACTTGATTTACCCCGCACGATTTCACTGATCTCGTTATGTCCGTGTTTTCACTGATCGGTTCAGAATTGATTGATTACGCCGCGCCAATCCAATCCTACCGACTGCGCTTATTTGTTACTTTTTACACGTTATTTGCAATCTAAAACGTTCGTTAAAATATCTATTGTCGAAATGTTTTCCTATTTCCAAATTTTAGATTTACTGTTAAGACTTTAGAAATGTTACAGTTTATTAAACGTTTTTAATGTTAGATGTTTTTCGTTTGCTAAGTAAGTTTGTCGAATGATTTGATAGAACTTTTTTGAAATAAAGTCGATGTCTCTTAGTTCTCTTACTTACTTCTTTCTCTAAATTATCAATTTTATCAGCCAATTTTATACTTGCTCTTTTATATACAGATCAGATTAGTACATCAATGTTTTGAAAGTATATGCAACACAACACAACGTACATTGACAAAACCTCAATAAAACTAAGCATTTTGTATTATTCTGATTTGTGACATTATTGTTATGTTGTATGCAGAGGAAAAGGAACAGGGTATGTAATTAATTTTTGCATTTCTTCTCTTCTAATTTCCCTGTTAGATGATTAGACTTTTCTTTAGGTCTATTTCTCCTTTTTGTTCATCTGTCTTTTCATTTCTTAGGTTTTTATTAACCAGCTGTTTGAGGATGTAGCCAATAATTTATTATTTTAAAAATATATATTTTATTGTGCAGTATACGGAGGACGATTTCTCAAACCTCACAATTTCAGAGCTTCTATTCAAATGTATTTGGTATTTATACGTACATCCTCAGTCAGCTGCTGGAAATCTCCAGAAAGATCGGAATGCTAAGTTATTTTCTTCTATTTTAATCTGTCCATTTTTTATGTGCACCACATATTTCTTATGTTAGCAACATGATATTTCTCGTTGGACACAAGAACCGTGCCCTGAAATGCTTAATACTATTCATGGAAGACTGAAAATTTTGCTGGTTTAACTGAGTTTACTAAGTTTACAAATTAGAAAAATAAAGTCGAACTTTGTACATCGAACTTGGCTTCTAATTTATTGGCATCTTCTAATACATTAATATAAATTAAATTATATTTAAATTTTAAATAATGAAAATAAATTCGCGCGTCAATATTTTCCAATTTTTAATGAAAATATTTTTTTTAAATTGTCTTATAATCTAAATATCTGCTTTCTTATAGGTTTCACTTATCAAGAAGCATTTCTAACTACCTACCGTACGTTCATCAGTCCATTTGACTTGATAACTAAATTAATTAGAAGATACAACCACTTTTACTACCAGCAAGATAAGAAGCCACGGTCGCGAGAGGCGTTTGCTCTGATTGTCCGAGGGGTTAGCGATCTTACGTAAGTACAGTTTTGATCGATTATTTCAGTTCCAACTTGGATTTGCTAACGTTCTGAATAAATCAATCATATATCGTTGGGATTTGTATTTAGTATTGTATTGAAATATAGGAGTTTGGACTTGGACGAGGCACTGACGACTAAGTTGATGAATTTTGTACAACATTTAATATCATGCGGGGAGTTGATCTTAGCTAAAGCGCTAAGGGTGAAATTACTAGAGCGACATAAAGCTGTTCAAATGGTTATACGGTATGTACCGACAAGTTTTTCAGAAAAATAATTTATGCATTGATCGTTTGCGTTTTTAGATATACCAATATCATAACTAGTTTAACGCTAAGTGCTAGAAATGCAACTTTGATGGATTTTAAATCGGAACAAATAGCCGAACAAATGACACTACTAGATGCCGAATTGTTTATGAAAATAGAAATACCTGAAGTTTTGATTTGGGCTCAGGAACAGAACGAGGAAAGGAGTCCGAATTTAACCAGATTTACTGAACATTTTAATAAGATGTCCTTCTGGTATGCTATTGGTCAGCTAGCGTTTAATTACCAATAAATCAATGCGGTTGTTGTAGGGCGAGAACGCGAATTCTGACTTCTGAAACCAAAGAAATCCGTGAGAAGTACTTCATGAAGTTCATCAAGATCATGAAGCATCTAAGGAAAATTAATAACTTTAATTCGTATTTAGCGCTTTTGAGTGCACTGGATTCGGCACCTGTTCAACGTCTCGAATGGCAAAAACATGTACAGGAAGGGATGAATGAATACTGTGCGCTAATCGACAGTAGTTCAAGCTTCCGCGCTTACAGGAATGCTTTGGCCGAGACTCAACCACCTTGTATACCGTACATGTAAGTATAAATCGGTTACAGAAAATATTTGATGTATGTTGAATGGGTTTTAATTTTGATTTTAAGGAATTGTTTTGTTTTGGACAGCTACACATTGTATTGTTTATTTTCAGAGGTTTGGTTCTACAGGATCTCACCTTTGTACATATAGGAAATCCGAACTTATTACCAAACGGCATGATAAATTTTTCAAAGAGATGGCAGCAGTTTAATATTGTTGAGAACATGAAGAAATTCAAAAACGAGTAAGTATAATGTCTTTTTTGTATTAAATTCAGGTGTTTCTAAGTCACTGGTTTCTTTAGAACATACACCTTTAAAAAGAGCGAAAAAATCATCCAGTTTTTCCAAAACTTTGACGATTGTATTGGAGAGGACGCGATGTGGAAATTGTCGGAGAAAATCAAACCGAGGGGCGGAAAGAAAACGCACTGAGTTGAAAATCTCAAAAAATCTTTGCCGATTGGCAGAGATTTGCTTTTGTTACCAATTTGGGCATTGACTGTGACGCTTGGGTCAGTTGATTACACTTTCGAAGTTCTTTGAGTTTGGACTTGCATGCGACTGAAAATGACAATTTTCCACAAAAAAAGGGCGGACATTCGATGTGTTTTTGTGGATTAAGATTACCAAGAAACTGAAATTGTATAGTTTTTGGCTATATTTTCTGTATAAAAACATCACAAACGTCAGTGCAGTGCCATATTACCAAGAAAATCGCATTGGGCATCTGAAGCAATGTAATAATCGATTTTGTGCAATTATTATTGTAGTTTAGCTAGGCAAAATTAACACATTACTTATCATAAGAACCTCTCTTCTTCTTTCAAAGGTTAGTTCATCTGCGAAAATGGACCAATCGTTGAAACCAATAGTACTAATCAGGTGAATCTGATAAGGTTATAAATTTCACACTACTTTTTGTAGCTATTTGATTAGTTTCTCAAGGACAGAGTAATTAATATAAAATTCTATTATAGAATGTGCAAAAGCAAAGACTATAAATTTCATCGAATTATCGGTTCCCAGTTTTACGATCGACAAACATATTTGTCTTTACAATATTATCGTTTTTTGGCGTCTGTGTAACAAGACTGATATACTTGGTGTTTACTATTAGCAAGTGTACTATAAAACTATTCACATTTAACCCTTTATCTAAGGGTTATTATTAAGTTCTCAATACGATAGTAATGAAGAAAAGACGCGGTTAAGAAAAAAAAATTATTCTAGTTTTTATACGAAATTTCGAAAAGCTTTTCAACTAGTGTTTTAAAAACTTATTTTACAAAAATTAGCCAAACTCTCATTTATGAATGAATCGGCTATAATTAGCTAGCTAAGCAAAGAGGCTATAATTAGAATTTTTTGGTTCATTAAAAAAATTGTTTTTATATGACTCGTCATTCTTTGCGCGCCTACTATTACGATTATACTTGTCTCTTTCAATAATCTTTACCTAATGTTAGTTGACATCTCTGTATTGTTTTGAAACAAATCAATTTTTTGAGCAAGTAGCAAAGGCAAACATAAATATTTTGTGTTATTTGTCAATATTCAGCTGTGGCTTGTAACATTTGCTGTTGGTCTGTAAGAATAACACTGCCACAAAAATTAAATTTGTTACTAGAATTTTAAAAATTATCAGGTGCATACAATTATTGAATTTTATCCATATTTGGAGTTTGGAATACGTAAATTTGTATATAATGAATGGCCTTAAGACGTACCTTTTTACTACTTAAAAAATGCTTGAACAGATCTAGATTGCTTAAAGTTTTGCAGCAATATCAATTTGAAATATAATGGATAATTGAAAAATTGATTTGGTTGATTCAAAACGAAAGTTTCAGTATTATGAAACAATTTTGGAACTTTTCGAGCTGCAAGCTTGGAAGAATTGCTAGTCATGCAGAATTACGAAACAACTTAATGATATTATTCCTGTGTGAATTTAAGGTAAGAAAATTGTATTTAATTTTGAGATAATTTACATTAAAGTCTAAATTATAAGTCATATAGAAGGCGTATCTTTTTAAATCTCTTTTATCAATTAAATTTGTACATACCTGATTCGTGTAGTGTGTCATAAATTTTCACATTCACTTCAATGACGGCAAAGGTCGAGCAAGTAAATTTTTAACAATATATGAAACACTAGACGAATAAAAAATGTCTAGGATACATAATTTTAGTAAATCCAATCTATACAAATAGTCTAGCAAAATTAAATGTGTAGATTATAAGACATTAGAATAACTAAATTCTTTATAGAGTGGCCAAATATTTTTTTGTGATTGTTGAAATTGTTACTTAGATTTTAATTCAAATACAGGTTTAGTTTATCTAAAATAACACCGCCGATGAATTTGTCAAAAATATTTACAATTTCCTATCAAATTATGTATTAGTGCTTCATTTCTTTAGTTCGTGTTGGACTTTACTGCAGAACGAAAAAATTACGTTGACTTGCAAAATTTATGTGTAAGATGTATTAATAAAGGATCCGGCTGAATAATACACTCTTATCATCTGTTTAACAGCAGTGAATGGAAATGACATACTTTTATTGCTATTGCACTTTTGCATGGCATGGATGTAAAAACGCCGATTATTTACACATCCTTACTGATACATCCTAACGTTACTGAACTAATTAATTATAATACTGAAATAAAGTTAACTATTCTAGAGGCCTAACTAAATTTTAAGTGCCACGTGCTACTAGTGTAAAAAGTCCTCAAAGTCATGATATGTACTAGCTTGCTCTTATGATGTAAATTAATGCGATTAAGAATAGATTTGCACCTCCATCCATTTTTAGAAGTAGGACTAAACCGACCATTACACATCTTAGTTTAATAGGGACAGTTTTCTATTTCTCTCGTCTGTATCTCTCGTCAATATTAATGTGCTCCTATTAATATTTTTAAACAATTTTTTTTGCATCCCAATTGGAAAACTAAAGTGAAGGTAGCAGGTGTGGGACAACCATGAAAACGTCACTATTCAATTATCTGCCGACGTTTCGACCTTTATTGGGGTCTTCTTCTTAGACAGCACGTTCACACATAATTTGAGCCTTGAAGAAGACCATAATGAAGGTCAAAACATCGGCAGATAATTGAATAGTGACGTTTTCATCATAGTCCCACACCTGCTACCTTCGCTTTAATTAATATTTTTCTAAGTATGGAGTCTAGATGATTAGTGAGTGCAGGAAAGAAGACTATTTCAATTAAAAAAATGCTTTTATTACTTTTTACGTCTCCCCTTCTCATTCTAATATCTTGCAGATTTTCTGGTTATGTAAAAATCAGTCGTATAGTCAAGTCAAGATAGTTTTATGGAAAATGTACTAATTTGCTCATTTTAAGCGATGTCGAATTAACGGATCTTTCTTGTCTTTTAATTTCGGCTGTTTTATTATATTAATGTTAATAATATTATTATTATTAACATTATAGCTTTTCTTGCATCAATTTCGGTAATAATGTCATTTGTTTATCGTTTCTTAAGGAAAACGTTGCATTTCTGGATGAGAATAGTACGATAACTTTCATGTGCCATATTATTTTTTATATAGTTCAGACGCTGATACCTAATGAGAGAAAAATGACGTGAATGTACTAGGAACGTGCTTTTATTTATCTTTAGAAAATTGCTTTACTTTTTAATCAAATAATTCTGAAAATGGAAGCTAAGAAGAAACCCATCTCTGCTGTTCTATGTTGTAAATGTGATTAACGATTGAAAGATGTGGTGTAAGAATTTTCAAAGATATGTTACTTTGTAAGCGTTATCAATAATTGTGTCTTAATTAAACTGTATCGAATTTATACACATTACATGTTTATTGTCAGTTACATTTTTAGATTCCATTCTGGTTTAAATTCAATTTTATTTGTAGATTTTCATGTAATAAAAATTTCACATCATTTCTCATTACAAATGTATATTCACTTGTAAGTTGTATATAAAGTATTTATATTTAGTAATTTATTTCTGGTAGTATTTATCGATTAAACACCCCTATTTGGTACACATATTAAGTGTGTATTTTTATTATTCTACCAAAGCCCTTTATTTCATATACTTTTAGTGGCCGTTATTGTACATATTATCACATCGTATTATTAAATTTATGTTGTAGCAGAATAAAATACATTCGAAATACCAACGAAATGTATTGTTTTTATCCATCCTGTCTTGGGAAAATGGGCTGCTGGCAAAAAATAGTTGCGGAAGTTTCGGATTTTACACTTCATTCTAAGATGATGTTTTATTTGAAGTATACCTTAGGTCGTTTATATAAGTTTAAAGGGAATTTTGCGTTTTAAATTTGTTTCAGTTTTTGTTTAGGACGGCGTTCTAGGTGTGAGTATTTTGAAGGGCTATATGTAAAACTTTTTTTATATTGTTAGTAGTTTACCGACTTACGTGGAAAATTGTGTTAAATTGAGTAAATTAATAAATTCACATATATTGTGAAACTGCTCACTAAACACATTTTTGTCAAATTTGGTAGATTAATCCCTGAAACGCTAATTTTTAAATTCCCCATTTGTGAAAGAAACATTTGCGTATTATGGTTGTGGTTTATTAGCGACTGACGGCAATTGCTGAAAAATGCCCATTAAGTTCTAAGTTTTATTGGTTAATAGATAGAGGTAGAAAATAACAACACTGGTTTTCTTGGTCCAACGTTTCGGCTATATTTAAGCCACGGTCAAGGCTCTAAAAGGGAAAACAAAATGGATATATTTAATACTCTTTTGCTGCTCTCTCTTTTCTTTTGTTTAATATTAATGACTGAATGAATACCAATTTCATTGACGACTATGAAAAGATTTTACTATATTTAAGACTGAAACCACTCCGCTTTACCTTTTAGAGCCCTGAAGATGGCTTAAATATCGCCCAAACGTTGACCTAAGGAAAATAGTATTTCATCTTTCTGCCACTATGCATTGACTAATAGACCCAAGAATTTAAATAGGTACCTTTTAACAATAAATAATAATTAAAAAATTCATATGGAATAATTGCTCCTAATGTTTAGTGTTTAATCATGTACGTGCGTGCTTGTTTTATTTGAATGTCGATTGCGTATCGTTGATTGCTTTTTTGTTTAATAACGAAATAAAACAAACAGTTGCTTACTATCAGAATTGATAATTAAAGCTATGTAGAACTAATTCTTCAAGCATTCGGAAACATGTGTAAAGTATTTTTTACATTTTCTGGTGATATGTTAATGAAAAGCCTTTCAAAAGTTGCAATTCTTGACACAAGTGAGTACATTCACATTATCAAAAGTATATTGTAATTTTCCATTTATAGTATAAGGATAGTTAATAATGATTTATTGATTGTTGATGCAATTAATCAACTCACTCGAAAATTCGAGAGAAAATATGACTACTTTTGCGTTAAAGGCCGGTATGTTTAGTCGATCTTCTGAACTTTACCGGATATTGTTTTGGGGTATAGCATCGTGTTAAGCCTGTGTCCCATGCATCCGTTTATACGATGGTACGATGATACGAAAGGGTTTCTATTGGTTGGAGATCTGTCAGTTCGTACAACGGCGGACGAATTGACAAATCTCCAACCAATAGAAACACTTTCGTATCATCGTACCATCGTATAAACGGATGCATGGGACAGGCCTAAGTTGCAGTTATCAAAGACGGCGCTGAAACGCCGTCAAAGACCAGAAAAGATAAGCGCTTTCCACTTCCACTGCGGCTAGTTGCCTCGAAGGATAAGATATTGTATAAATAAATCGCAAAATAACAATTTTTTCTAAGAAAAGACATATTAGCGGTGAAAACCGTTATTAAAGTTCAGAAAATCATCCAATTGATTCCGAAACCTATTTTCTAAATATTAAAAATATGTAATGCAGTAACAACTTTGTTTATTATTATTATTATTTCAACAACACATCATACATACAAGCTTGATTTTTGTTCACGAAGTTGGCACTGACAATAAAATTAGTTAAATATATCTATTATCAAAAGGACAGGAAGGTCTCGATTTGTGATTTGTTCCTGGTGATTGATTAATGGCAATAAAACAGTGCACAATTTCCTTTGAGAAAGCAGAGATTAGTACTAATCTCTGGAGAAACGAAAGCGTTTTCAGTAAATTCCTCTGGTATTTTCCATTTCTCGAATTTACCTGAAAATACTACAATTATTATTTTAATTGCATATCAGGCTTATTGATGATTTCATTTACGTACCTTTGTGGTATGTTCAAATCTAATTCAAAGTCTTGAATTATCCCGATTAACACTCTACCATACATCGAGATCGTTAACCATATATATAAAACAAAAATAGTATAAAAAGTTGAGAACTTTTGCTCACAAAGTACCTTTGGTTATTCGGGAGGCCGGCGCATTGTAAAAGATCGAATACCTGCCGTAGTAACAGAGCGCCCACCTGTTATATTAATTCAAAGAAAATGCAATAAACGCACATAAGGAAATTCATAATTTTCTTTAATCAAAACCGCAAGTGAGAAAATTTCTATTATCTTATTTGCTTTATCAGATACGTTCTTATATATAATATGGTAACAACAGAAATATTGCGCTATTTACAACTCGGAGTGTCACGTTTCTTACTTGAAACTGATAGTTTTGTTTCAAATTAAAAAGGTAAGTAAGGCATTATCAGTGTGATTGCATGATTTGCTGGTATGTAACTTAAAACTACTATTATTACAGTACGTTCGCGATGGAAGAAACGCACATTATTATTTGGAAATACGCGGAATTTGGAAATAAAATTTTATGTACAGAGTGTGTAAAAACCTTAATCTAGTGTCGTTACTCGATTTTGATATAAGTAAGATTTTGTATAGAATATTTACCTAGATGCTTTTGAACTTCTGGGTTATTTATATTTTGTTTGCCTTTTTATTCAACATAACTTGTCCATTTAATACATCGTAAATTCGATTTTTTTAACTAGGCATAAGCGTAGCATAAGATGCATTTACATTGCCATTGGCTTTAATACCAATGCGTTATTTGTAGATATTAACTTGTCATGTGATTCCAATTATGCGTAATTTTTTACAAATATTATATACATCTTTCTATCAATCGCTGAATTTAACAAATAGGTACAGTTTATTTCTTTCTGGAGGTTTTTCCCGGTGAGGTTTAGGAAATGCTCTTTTACGCACAACCAGAGCTGATAATCTGGCGCTCTGAGCTGTGTGGAACTCCAGCTATGCTGTTTATCCACTAAAACCCTTTCTTCACCGCTGAGGTGGTGTTTGGCCTGGCACCGCGGTCATTTCTATCCTATTGTGCTCTCGTATTTTACTCCCTCATTATCACAGCGAATTCCAAAAGAACATTGAGTGGGGTACGCATGACCTGGTCTAGTAGAACTTCATCCCCTTCCAGGAGTCTACCGGTTGCATATGACGTGCACACGACACACATAATATGTAGAGTAGTTTCCTCCTCTAATTCGCACCCCTTGCAAGTCGGTTGATCGCTCAGTCCTATCCTGAAGAGGTGTTTTTTTGCAGGGGGCGTGTCCTGTTAAAAAGGCCACTATCTACCTTATTTTTGCCTGCTGAGACTTAGCAGTTCCTTTTTAAGGACTGGTTGTGGAGGTCCCACCAACTGCCTTGCGGTAAGAAGTCACGGAATCTTCTCCCAGTACTCGTAAGGATGTAAGTTCTTTTACACAATCTAGCACACATTGTAACCTGATTGTGTACGATTCGGGTGCCTTATTGTGGCTTCACCTCCGGTTACAATGGTAATATACGTATGTGTGTAGGCTCTTTCCCTCATTTCTGGGGGTGGTTGAAAAGCAAAGTTTTTTTTTGAAGACTTTCAGGGTGGAAATCGGCAAGATTTTGAGCGTTTATTGAAAAAATATTATCGGACTGAATCAGATTTTCTTAATTTTACCAATTCTTTCCTGTTTCTTTGTTCATTTTTTAAAGTACACGAAATAAGTCATTGAGTATTGAGTACCGGGTGATAGTACATATTTGTAATTAAATAAACACTTGAATAAGGCTCATTGAATAATTGAGATTGCAATTACTATCAAATAGTGGATGACGCTTTATCTCAAGTTTAGACATAAGAAGTAGTGCATTCCTTTTGCCTTTCGAAACGAGATAGGAAAATGGGCAAGGGATAATAAGGAAAAGGCTACCAAATTTGATAAATATTTAGCAAGCATCTTCGAACCACCAAAGTGAAACAAAAAAGAATCTAGAAAAACAAATCAACGCCAATATTGAATGATCCAAACCAAATGTGTTTACCAATTAAAAAAGTTCAAATCCTAGTAGTCAGACAAGCAAAACAAAATTAATCCATAAAAAGCTTTAAGTCAGAGTCAGATTGGATCTTAATAGGCCTGTTTCGGGCGACAAAGGGATGACGGTAAAGGATTCGGAAGGAGGTCAGAATATTGGGACAATAGTTTGATCATAAATATGACATAAACCCGTGTTTTGCGCATAACAGTCTTAAAACCTGTCTGTACATAGGCGATACTCCAACTCCAACATTGAAATCCTCACTAAATTGTATATACTTTCCTTATTGTGTTTCAATTCCAAATCAAAATTAATTCCTGGGTTTCAGTCATTTATTGCCTCTATTTATCAATTAAAATACGTTACGGTGTATTTTTCGACCATCATCAGTTTTTCTAAAATAACAGATAGTTAAAAAAAATTTCATTAATTTAAAAAACAACCACAGTTCGTCAACAGCCTCATCATATCACACATTAAAATACATCACAATTGCAATACTTTAAAACATTCTAAAATTAATTAGGCCTAACAGGTGATTAGTCAGGACAATCAAATCTGGGAAGAGACTAGAATTCTTCGTTCAGATACTTAAATATTTTTACTTACATGTGTAGAGTTGTTGCTGCTTTAAGCCTTGGCATACATTTGGAGTATTAATTTTGTCCATTTTGGAAACAAGGCGAATAAAATACTGTTTATATTGATTTCTTTCACTTTCAACTAGTTGTCTTTGTATTCTGAGGATATTATTTTTGGTTTGCAAAATTCTTCAATATACCGGGTGTTAGTTAATATTCTATGTTTATTTAATTTAATTAATGTAT